TAAAAAAAAAATTCCCCCATAAAATCCTGAATTTGTCTTTAATTTGAATAACCTGAACTTCGACTATACCTTTGAATTCACTTTTAAACTCCATCATGGCACCACACATTGTTCGATGGGGTATCATGGGTATGAAATCTTGCTATGGGAACAGAAAAACAAAGCTAACTGATTGATAGCCACTGGCTGGATTGCTGAGAGTAAGATCTCACTTCTACAATACCTGTACAAGAACCCATGAAATAACCCATTTCCAGCATTCACAAATGACCTTCTCATCGACCCCAACGTCCGCGATGCCTCCGATGTAGCCCATCAAGTCGTCGCCGTGGCCTCCTCCTCGTCCAAGGATAAGGCGGAGCAATTCATTTCGGCTCGAGGAATCACAACCCCTTGTTCTGCGTACGGTGACTACGAGACTCTGGTGGCTGACCCCAACGTTGATGTCATCTACGTCGCGACCCCGCACTCCCACCACTACCAGAACGTCAGACTGGCGCTGGAGGCTGGCAAGAATGTTCTCTGCGAGAAAGCCTTCACAGTAAATGCTGCGCAGACTAAGATCCTTGTCGAGATTGCCCGCAAGAAGAACCTCTTCCTAATGGAGGCCGTCTGGACACGATACTTCCCCCTCAGCATTCAGATCCGCGAGCTCATCCAGAAGGGTGAGATTGGTGAGGTCCTCCGTGTCGTGGCTGATACGAGTTTCGGTGATGATGTTGAGACGAAATGGGGTACCACACACCGCATGGTGAACCCCGATTTGGCCGGTGGTGCTCTCTTGGATTGTAGGTTTTCTGGATTTTGTGTCCATTGATTGTCCCCCGGCGGAGTACAGAGAGAGAAAACGAAACTTTGACTGACTTGACCTTGTAGTGGGTATCTACTCTCTGACCTGGGTCTTCCAGACTCTATACCACACCCTCCCGCGAGACCAGAGGAAGCCACCCACTGTCTCCTCGCAGATGACTCCTTACCACCTTACAGGCGCAGACGAGTCCACAACCATGCTTTTGAACTTCCCTACAAGCACTCCCTCTAATGGCCCTCACCCTCAACAATCGCATGGTATCGCCCTGACCAACATTCGTGTCTCTGCTGATCCAGATGAGAAGGGTTCAAGTGGTCCTCCCATCCGTATCCAGGGTACCAAAGGCGAAATCCAGGTGCTTGGCCAGCCATTCCGGCCAGAGAGCTACCGTATCATTCCCAAGAAAGGTGCCGGTGAGATCCGTGAGGTGCAGTGCCCATTCCCTGGTAATGGTAAGGGTATGTACTGGGAAGCTGATGAGGTTGCTCGTTGTCTCCGCGATGGCAAGCTCGAGAGTGAGGGATTGCCATTGGAGGAGAGTATTGTCATCATGGAGGTTATGGATGAGGTGCGGAAGCAAGGTGGTTTGACCTATCCTCAGCAGATTGAGTCGACTGAGTACCCTCTGAGATTTTGAGTATCAGTTGTGCGAGTGTAAATAACAGTACATAGTGTTAAAACACATATCACATACATACCCAAATGGGAATTAGACTAAAGGACTAACAAATTTACCCAAACATCCAATTAAATGCAAACCGGTCTCAATTGTATTCGGTACTGAAAGGGTACGCTACTATACATGGCGGTCAAGGGGATAAACCCACGTCTATATGTGGACGAAAACGCCAGCCATGCTTCCGGTGTGCCCAATTAAGAAAAAAACATAGGAAAAGAAAAAGGTAGGCATCACGGAGCCTGGACTGGTAAATTGTCCCAAATTACCCCCCCAAATTCCCTTTTAAAATGTAATCCAACAGAATCTTTTACTGGCGGAAAACTCCAAGAATGCTCTTCCAGACCTGACCAGGCTCCTGGCTGGCATCGATGCCGCGCCAGATACCGGTCTTCTTGTAATACTCGACAACGGGGGTGGTCTGGGCGTGGTAAGTAGACAGGCGCTTGGTGAGGGTGTCGGCATTGTCATCAGAACGCTGGATCAGCGGCTCTCCGGAGATGTCGTCCTTCATGTCAGCCTTGGGAGGGTTGAAGATCTTGTGGTACGAGCGGCCAGAGGCAGGGTGGACCAGGCGACCGGTGATACGAGCCACCAGCAGGGAGTCATCAATCTGCAACTCAATGGCGTGCTGAAGCTTCTGGTCACGGGCGATGAGCATGTCATCGAGACGCTCGGCCTGCGCAACGGTCCGGGGGAAACCATCCAGAATGAAACTGTTCATCTCTCGTGTTAAATTCTGACTGGGTGTCGAAAGAAAATAAATTGGGAAGAGGAATGGAGATGTACGCACCCGTTCTTGCACTCTGCGTTGTTGTCCAACTCGCTCTTGATCATGTTGACCATGATCTCGTCGCTGACGAGACCACCCTGATCCATGATCTTCTTGGCTTCCTTACCAAGATCGGTCTTCTTCGCGACCTGGGACCGCAACATGTCTCCGGTGGCCTATTCAGGAAATATGTTAGCGGGAAGAGCTTATGCTGTACTCAGGCAAACTTACCAGGTGGCACGCGCAGTACTTTTCCTTAAGGTTCGGGGCTTGAGTACCCTTGCCTAATTGAACCGTTAATATCCATTTCCATTTCCAGTTATAGTTCAATCGCATACCTGCGCCAGGAGGGCCCATCAGGATGATGCGCATCTGCTCAGCGGCGGACTTGGGCTTGCCGCCATTGGCGAGACGGCTCTCAAGCTCGGAGACCTTCGCCTCGAGCTGCTGAATGGTGTTCTTCAGACCGGATACGGCCTCTTCAGTGATGGGAGCCATTGTGAGTAAGAGGGGAGAGGATTGAAGAAGAGAAAGGCTGTAGACGGAGAAACGGAAGAAATGGGGAAAGGGAAGATTCGCAAGGAACTTAGCGCCCGAGGTTCGGAGAGCACGGGCTTCACAGAGAATAGAGTGAATACATTTTGTAGAGATGATTGAGACTTAAAATCCCGATATAATGTTTCCTATCTATTCAATTTGTGCTCTTATATTCTCTATATATTCTATTATAGAAAAATTATCTGTTTATATCTTCCAAGCTTCTATTCTCCTATTCACCCAGCAAATTTCTACACTGAAGGTGCCGGTTGCTGACTAAGATCTCTAGCCTCAAGATGGCGCAGCTCTGTGGCGGAGAGCTCTCAAGAGCACCTGTGCATCATCGCTCTCCATCCACATTCACCTATCTCGCCTTGATTTGCTGTTCCATTATTTGATCTACGAGCTTTAATCGTCCCTTATAGCTCTCGAATTACTTTCACCTTCCCTTTCACGATGCCTGCCACCACGGCAGACACGCTATCCCTCGTCAACCGCTCCGTGACGGTTGCCCCGTTAGTCCTCCTTTCCGTCGCAGATCACTATGGGAGAACGGCAAAGGGTACCCGGAAACGTGTTGTAGGTGTATTGCTGGGTGAGAACTCGGGCGATAATGTCCGGGTATCAAACAGTTTTGCTGGTGAGTGCAAGCTTCGGTGAATCAAATCCATACAACAGAGCTGACATCTGTGTTTCTCTCTAGTCCCATTCGAGGAGGATGAAAAAGACCCATCAGTGTGGTTTTTAGACCACAACTTCGTTGAGTCGATGAGAGATATGTTCAAGAAAATCAATGCTCGCGAGAAGCTAGTCGGCTGGTACCATTCAGGTCCTAAGCTGCGCGCTTCGGATTTGGAGATCAATGAGCTCTTCAAGAAATACACGCCCAATCCTTTGCTGGTTATTGTCGATGTACAACCGAAGGAAGTTGGTGTGCCTACAGATGCTTACTTCGCTGTGGATGAAATCAAGGATGTGAGTTTTGCATGAAGCCCAATGAAGCACTCACCAGGCCACCAAGGCTAACCAGGGCTATTTTGCACTTGCAGGATGGAACAACAACCTCCCGGACATTTGTGCACACCCCATCGATAATCGAAGCAGAAGAAGCAGAGGAGATTGGCGTGGAGCACCTCCTCCGAGACATCAGGGACGTCGCAGTCGGCACACTTTCGACCCGTATCACGTCGCAGCTGCAGTCGCTGCAAGGATTGCACCTGCGGCTGCGCGATATTGGTCAATACCTTCAGAAAGTTCTCGACAAGGAACTTCCCGTCAATCACGCTATTCTGGGCAACCTCCAGGATGTTTTCAATCTCCTTCCTAATCTGTCTACCCCACCAGCGACGCAGCGGACCAACGGCCAGGAGCCACAGATCGAGAACAGCGAGTTGGCACGAGCCATGAGTGTCAAGACTAATGATCAGTTGATGGCTATTTACATCAGCAGCTTGATCCGTGCCATCACGGCTTTCCACGACTTAATCGATAACAAGATCCAGAACCGACAGCAGCAAGAGGAGAGTGACACCAAGCGGGAACAGGAGGCGAATGGAGCTAAGGGAGACAGGGATGTCAAGAAAGCCGGTTCGCCAAATGGCGAGCAGAAGGAGGAGCAGGACAGCTCCGACAAGAACAAGAAGAAGAACTAAGGGATTTTTCTTAATTTATTGTCTTCCGGAAAGAATTGTCAATTCAATGAGTGAAGCATATGACCTTGCGCCTTTTTTTTTTTCTTTTATCTCGCCATGTATAGTGGATAGTTCACGGTCAAGATCCTATTAGCAGTCCCAAGTCTGTTCATTTCGCACAGTGGACGAAGACCTTGGTCTATATATTGGAACATCGTAATAACACTCTCTTTGGGGTGTATATTATGCAATCATCCCACGATCTTAAGGGTTCCAGGACAAGTCCCCATGCGTGGCCAGCCGACTTCTGCGTTCAACGATTGCTCGGACACGGGCAGATGGGTGTTAGGACCCGTTGTCATCTGCGGATACCTGGCATCTCAGATGGTTCAGCAGCTATTATGGAGTCAAGGACTCTTCGAGTACAATCGTACATTTGGATATATCATTTTGCATTGGCATGTCAAAAGCCCAAGTAAATCAACCCCAACCAGCACACCAGCCCGCCAATTCCTCCATAGAAACGGGGACACCGTCCTCCCCATCAACCCCGAACAGCTCAGGGCACCGTGCTTGCAGAATACAAGCTAGGATGTGTTTGCAGGTAGGAGGTGACACCCGAGCCGTACCACGAGCCAGCGTTCCGCCAAATGGGTAGTCCAACTCGTTCTGTTCGTTTGCCGGATTTGGATTCACAGGAAGTTGATCTCGGTATGCAGACAAGGTAAATGTAGGACAGCTGCAATTCCAGGCACGTAGCCGAACCTCGTAGCCCTTTTGGGATGGTGAAGCAGATATCACGATAAAGATATCGTCTATCTCTGATATAATTCGACGTACTAGTTTGCGGTCGAGGATATCAAGGGCAGGAAGAAGATCATTTGGAAATAGACAGTGCAATGTTAACATTAATGGTTTCAAATTTGAAGATAATTCTGTGATCAATTGATCAATAAATATGTTAGAATTCATATTTGAAGAGAGAAAAGGAAAATTGAAAAGAAAAAAAAATAAAAAAATAAACTCCCGAATCTCAAATCCCCCAATTGCTTATGTCTTCATCTTCTTCTTTACATTCCCTTCATATTCCTTCGCTTTGCCTTTCACTTTTCTCATCATTCTACCAAATGTCTTTTCTTTTTCAACTTCTTTTTCAACTATTTTTTCAACTTCTTCCTCTTCCTCCCTTGGTCGTTTATTTTTCTGAAGTCTATTGAAGTGCATTCCTTGAACTTCAAGATCCAACAATTTGGATCCTTTGCCTTTATCTCTAGTCAAAGTTATCTCAAGTCGTCCCCGTTCTTTAGTCCAGTTGACTATTTCCTCATCAGTCCCTTGATCTTTCCCTTGGACTTTCCCTTTCTCCCATTCATTCGCCCATTTCTCAAACTCCTTGCGCCTCAGATCTGCCGTCCGAGATATATATGTATCGATAGCCTTGGGAATCATCGCATCTAGTAACTGCTCTAGACATTTGACGTCGTGTCTAAAATCAGAGTCCGCGAACAAACCGGAGTCGATTTCCATGGGTTCGGGGTTTGGGATTCTCTTTGTTCCGGTTGTCTGTATGTCGTTTATAGGTAACCGGCGGTATGTGAAGAGATAGCCGGTGCTGAGGTGTTTCAGGTCACCTTGAGGCCCTTCGGGGATCCAGTCCCTGACGGCAGAGTCACTCGCTATGGTCCATTTATCCCCTTTGCCTTTGAGACCGACGCTGTAATGACCGAATGTTGTCTGCTCTCCATGATGCAAGACCACGGAGCTCAACTTATATTGTATGACTTTCCGTTTGTTGCCCCAGCGTTCATCGATGAACCGTGTCTCGATATTTAACTGCTCACTCAGAGATACTTTAGTGGTGATCTTGTTTCCAGTCTGATCGACGCGGTTGAGTTGGACCAAGAGAAGCTCAGGAAAACTTCCAATTTGGTCTGTGGCAGTCATGGTGCCTCCACATTTCCCACACTCATCCCAATAGTCTTCATGGTCAAAATGCCGTTGGATTACATCGCTCAAAGTAGGATTCTTAGGGAGTTCATCGTCCTCTTCTCCGGATAAGTGGATCATCATAACCGGTTGCGCGTTTGAGGTGTAATTTGGGACACAGGGATTTTCCCCAGCGCACTTCTTTACGGTGATGATTTCGACCTCAAACATCTCTTCCAAGTCTCCTCTCCTATTCAAAATTTAGTTTGGATTGGGGGGAGGGGAGGGAGGGGATAAGGAGAGAAATAACGTACATCATAAGCTTGGTGCTTTCTTTGATCGCATTGTAAAGCACCCCAAAGTACTCTACCGGGTCTTGTTCCGAGTCTGTACCAGCTGGTTTCCAACTATGCAAGAGGGATTTTGTTAGGGAGTCAAAGGTGGACATCCAGTCAGTTTCATCAGTTTCACCTGCCCAGTAACCCTGAAAAATCTCAGCAAGTTGGCAAACTTGGCATTCCATAGGATCATCATCGGATGAGCCTAGTTTGCAAACGTGACCCTGTGGGGCATGATGATTCTTGTACCAGATGAGCCAATTGTAGAAAATTGGCATATGAAGAATCATTTGGAAGACGACATTTCGATAGCATTCAACCGCCGTAGGATTTGGAAATCCCCGGGTGGTTTGGTCGGGTAGGTCTGGATGCCAATCATTGGGAATTAAGGTCTTTTTATCTTGTTAAGAGTTGTTATTAAAGGGAAGGGAGACACTTACTCTCAATTTCCTTTTCTGTTCGGCTGACTTTTTTCTTTCTGGTGTTTCATCAAGTACCTGCATAGTAGCCATGATAGAATATTTGTAGATATATGGTTGTATAAGTTGGGGATTGTAGTTTCATTTTATCTTATATAACTGGATTTTTATGATCTCAGATATTCTTTGAATATCAAAGAATCAAGTCACACTCTTTCACTTTCTTTCACATATTTCTATACAGTTGATGAAAGACACTGAAGTTCTATAAATAAAACAAAGAGAAATGGAAATTTCAACGTCAATCAATTTCCGACCAATTTCCGACCCATTTCGACCACTTTCCCTCCAATTTTCCCCAGTTTTCATGTTCGAGACCAGTCTGAAAAGATGTACAAACCAGTTCCACTAAGTCTAGAAGCCGTTTCAGGGGATAGAACGTGAAAGCTCTAGGTATCTGTAATAATCCACATTGACAGGGTTCCTGACATCTACCGAAGATCCACAGAGACAGAAAAGGATCCCTGAAATCCCTGAAATTCCTAGAAATTAAAGAAAATCAAATCAAAACATAATAGAAAAAAATGGGTCCGGGTACGTGTTAGATAGTGACGATCAGAAGAGAAACCACGCAACGCCACCCTCTCTACCATTTGACACTCCACATTACGTTCTTAATTTTTTTTATTTTATGAAGTTTCCATTTTATTTTATTTCATTTTATTTTATTTCATTTCATTTTATTTTATTTCATTTCATTTTTTATTTATTTTATTTTATTTTTATTTTTAGCTTTTATATCGGAAATAATCAAAGATCATACGGCCGTTGAACGGGTGTCTGTGCGAAGCTAAGGGAGGCAACGATCGCCTTGCGAACGTTGCGATCCACCATAGGAAAATTGATAGGTAGGAAAATATTCTAGACGAGATTAGGGACGGGGGAGTTCTAGATGTTTCAGAATAAATGGAAAATATAATAATCCGATACCTCGGGAATTTAAAGGGAACTCGTGTTCGGTTTTTTTAAGCATGTGGTTCCTTGTTTTATTTTAACATGAGGCGAAATTGGCAAGGAAAGCCAGTTCTCCACCAAAGAACCCCGTCGTTCAAATGGGGAGAGAGAGAGAGAGAGTTGATTATAAGAACACCCGAGAAGTTGGGTGCCCCACAAGAGAGACAAAAAAATCCCCGACTGGTTAACCTTGGAAATTATAGGTATATAATATATATATATAATAATAATAATAATATATAATATAAAAGCCCTGGTATATACAAATTTCCCTTCTAGACCGGAAAAGACCGTTCATTTAACTAAAAGGATGATGCGGGTCCCCGTTTAAGTAAAATTAGTTTTCATCCCCCTCTCTTCCCTTTCTAGTTTAGTATGAAACTACCCATTCTTCATAGTTGTACTTTATATATACTTAGGTATAATCTACGTAAAATAACTTACCAAATCTAGACAGGGGAATTGACCGTTTAATTAAAAAGTGGAGTTATTTTGTTTTTTGGTTTTACTGTATCATTACACCTGGTCTAAGACTTCTCTCTCTGTTTAGATCAGCTGTCACTTCGTTTCAAGTTGGGGGAATTGCTTCATATCCTTTTTCATTTCTTTCCCTTTTTTTTTCCCTTTTTTTTTAATGCTTCTTTTAGCTCCATTACCTTTTTTTCCCCCCCTCTCTCTGTGAATCCTATTTCCTCCAATTCTAAACTTCTAAAAGCACCTTCCGTTTTACTTTTTCCCTTTTTGCCTTCCCCCTCTCCAGACTTGGGGAAAACCTCCCTGCTTTGTTTTGGTTCTAGTCATCCGCGCATATGATTGCGTTACAAAATCGGCCTATATTGCCTCCTGTCAAAGTGGATATCTCACTACTACTCAAGCCCCAAGATGAGGAAGAAACCGCCCCGGGTTTGAACACCGGGTACCCGCCCAGAACGATAGGGCCACTGGGCTTAGGTCCGATGATGACTATGCCGGGTCCGGCTATGGTCATGCCACCGTTGACTAAGACCGGCCCGTCGGGTGCTGCCAAGCGTTTGCAGCCCTCACATACCTCCGAATCTCCAGCAAAGAAGCAGTCCAAATGGTCACCAGATGAGGATGCCTTGATCATCGAACTGCGGGGCAGTGGGATGAAGTGGGAGGATATTAGCAAACGACTCCCCGGCCGGAGTGCTATCAGTTGCCGTCTTCATTATCAGAACTATCTGGAACGTCGAAGTGAATGGGATGAAGATAAGAAGAACAAACTAGCCCGTTTATATGAGAGGTAGGTTTGCTGATGGTATTTCGAAAAAAAAGAAAAAAAAAAAAAACAAAAAAAACAAAACAAAAAAACACATCCACTAATCTCCCACTCATTAGATTCAAAGCTGAAATGTGGTCCAAGGTAGCGGAGGAAATGGCAATCCCTTGGCGTGCAGCAGAAGCTATGCACTGGCAACTGGGAGAACAGGAGATGGCTCGACGCGCAGGAGTAGTGCCATTCTCCCTCTCAAGTGCTGCCATTGATCCCCCAACCACTAGAACACGCCGCGCTAGTACCTCTTTATCCCGACCAAGAAAAGGATCTTCCTCACGCGCAATCCCAGGCCATCTCCCAGGCCATCCACCTCAACTTCCTTCACTTGAAGAGCTCACTGCAGGAGTTCCTGCATACGCTCCCGCTCCACCTCCCCCGAGAGAGTTCTATGGACGACCAGAAATGGGAATTCCCCCAGGTCTCATGGGCCCTCACCTTGGCATGCCCCCTCGGACCATGCCCTAGGTTGAGGTGATGAAGATGACGCCTACACGTCTTTCCTTGAGTTTCTTCTTGTTTTTTTTTTTTTGTCTTTGTTTTTGTTTTTTTCTTTTCCTGTTTTCTTTTGTGTTTTTCTGTTACGAATTGCATAGCGCCGGTTGGAGGTATATCGTGATTTGTGGGGATAGTGAATCGTATAGATGATTTCTACCCCTCGGTGTTTGTTTCTTTTTTGCAGAAATTTTGGGCCCAGTGCGAATTTGATGTGTTCTCCCACTCCGAGGCTGGCTCTCGGAGCTACCACATTTTCAAACGTCATGAGCCGTTTTGGGGGTTGCGATTGCCCACCAGTTATCTTTCTCGTACCCAGATTCTAGCACACGACCACCAGCATTGCCGATGTCGCGCTCCAGCTCGCCTTCCGCGTACAGGTGGTAGTAGCGATGGAAAGTCTGGGGTTGTTCACCCTTACGAACCCAAGGAACCATTCGATCTTGCTCGTCACCCTTGTCCCAACCTCTCCGGCTGTTCTTTTGCTCGAGGGCCCAGGCATAGATCAGGACCTTTCCACCCTCCTGCGTCTCCGAACCGCGCTTGACAGTTCGCATGATCTCGGCAACAGCTTGGACTCGCCGGGCCGGAGTGGAAAGATGGTGCACCACCGCAATTGAAATCGCAAAGTCAAAGCTTGCGTCCCGGTGTGGGAGATCAAGAATATCAGCCACCACAGTCGAATGTGGCTGGTGCTGCAGGGCGATCCGAGCCAGGTTTTCAGATCTACTATCGGATTAGTCCAGACCAAGCTAAAGGAATACAATGGGTGGAATGGTATCCCAACGAAATAAAGAAATCTATAGAAAATCCAAAAAATTCAATGACCCAATGATTCATCTTATCAAAACATACCTATCCGAAGCAATGATAAAGACATCTCGATTGACCATCAAGTTTTTGCCATTACCACACCCTACATCTATACCCACTGTGCCTGGTGCTAGGCTTGTGAGGAATCGCTCGACTATAGGCCATGGCTGGAAAAGTGGGTTAGTTGGGAAACCAAAGTTGCGATGGCTTAGAACACACCTTGTAGCGGGTGGCGGAGAAATGCTGAGCAATCTCTTGATACACTTCATGGACATTTTGTTGCTCATACGCTTCACCTGTCTGTTGGGACGCCATAATGCTCTGATCGTGAACAAGGTGAGAAACTGAAGAGTTGAAAAGTCAAGCGAGAATAGATATCACGTGGCTTGCGATTTGTAACGAGCATAATATCTACATCATGGGATTTATATCTACAGAAAGCAGAAAGTATAGAAAGCTTGAATTATGTCAAGTTTGATTCTGTGTCTATTTTATATTTAGAGAACAGGAGCAATTGCTATAAGAGTATAAAGGGTTTATCAACCTTTATGGATGTTTCTATGATAATGCAAGCTATGTGATATAGAACATAAAGAACAATATACTCTCGACAATAGAGTCAACTATGATGAGCCAAGCTTTAATAATACTAGAGTTGAATTGCTCGATGAGAGTACTCCCGATCTATATTCTTGGAATAGTCCACATAGTATGCCAAGATCAGTGATTGTTTTTTTATATCAATTTCTTACAGTTGCTACTTTGACATCCAGATCGGACAATTATCTTTAAATAAACTTGCACAAAGACAAAATTACCCATTTTACCTATAAAGATCATATATATCATTTGTCAATTTCTCAATTATGTGTAGCATCAAGCGCCTGTTCCTGAGGTGTCCCCAGGGCTCTGGAGACAGCTTACTAATACTAACTTCTTCGGGAAGAGTGATATTCCTTTTTTTGTCAACCACAGGGAAGTCCAAGATCCATTGTAAGTATCTACCCCATTCAATGGTGTTTGTCTTTTGTCTAGACTATCTTGTTCTGTCAACTTCCATAAAGTTGCCCTGGCAAGTGCTGGTAGCTTCTTTCCCCTCAGGGGAATTTGATATTAGCAATTCAGGATGCAATAGTGCCAAATGCATACTCTATTCTTGTCTTTTGTCTAAAGACTAGAAAGCTATCTGGTTCCGAACCTTTTCTTTTCTTTTTGCAATGCCTCGCACCTTGCCATCAACAACTTGCTTTGCTTTACAGCCCACTCTAACACTTCTTTTCTAGAAAAACGGGAAAGAGACCAGACAAGTGATACATAGACAAGATGGCATTCCAGCCTACCCCGATGGATATCTCCGTCATCATTACCAATGCAGCTTTAGCCAAGCCCGGGAATTCGGAGCCTCGATTCCTGACTGAACGACGCATCACCCCAACCTGGACGGTGATGCAGGTCAAGGCAAAGCTGGAGACTATGACAGGAATCCCACCAGGCTCCCAGCGTCTGCGAGTAAAAGTGCCCGGTCGACCTGATCAATGGGCTGACGGGGACGACCGTCTGATTGGAGACTGGGGGCTAGTAAAGGGGTCGGAGATCGAGGTTAGTTCTCTTTTCTTTCCATGTTTTCCTATTCTTCTTTTAACCCTCCTATGGCTGCTTCAATGGACCCAAAACAACATGTCCTCTGATTCGAGTGGTCAGGGCAAGAGATCCATACGATTTCTGAATATATGCTGATTTGTATCAAGGTCAATGACAGCCGCCCACAAACTATGCGGGCTAACTTTACCGACTTGTCATCGGTTGAGAAATATGTGCTGCCAACTGAAACATACGAGGCTCGTTCGGACTCCGTATTGGCCTGGAAGAAGAACCAGAAGCTGGGCCGGTTTGATCCTAACGCTTTATCGCCCGAAGAGGCTCTGCGTCATCAAGTCGAGAAAGACCAGACCGAGGTTCAAACGAGAGGTTCGTTGAAACAAACATTTCAAGTATGCGATTTCTTTTCTTCAATCTAATGGCACGGCAGGAATCACGGTTTCTAAACGAGCCATCGTTCTACCTTCGTCTCCGCCTCATATTCGGCGCGGCACGATCCGCTTCGTTGGACCTGTTCCGACTATTCCTATTACCGGTCCGGCTCGCGAGCTGCAGGATTCAGAACTTCCGGCAGATCTCCAGCCAATTTGGGTCGGGATCGAGCTTGACGAGCCGATGGGGAAAAACGATGGTAGTGTGGGTGGACAGCGCTACTTCGAGTGTTTAGGCAATAGGGGCGTCTTTGTGAAGCCCGAAAAGGTTGAAGTCGGAGAGTTCCCCCCATTGGGTTTAGACGACGACCTAGATGACCTGATGGAAGAGATTTGATACACTTGAGTATGTATACTTTGCATTTCAATATTGTGGAATAAATGAGGTTCTGATTCCCAGCTTCTCTCACTTGCTCTCCCATCACCAATTATCACCAATAGATATTGCATAATTAACCAGAGAAACAGGCGAAACAAACGCCAAATTCCCTGGTAATCGTATGAAAACAAATCGCTCAAGAACGAATAACAATAAAAGACATTCAGACGCCCACAGAATAAAATTTCAGGGTATCCACGTAGAAGGTATCATGGCGCGTTGTCAATGCCTACAAACATTAGAACAGGATTGGAGGGCAGAGCTAGGAAGTGATCATTTGCCAGTCTTCTTCTGCTTGCCCTTGGGGCGACCCTTAGCTTTCTTAGCAGGGACATGAACAGGAGCCGTGGGCGTGTCGGCTTCAAATTCACTCTCAGGGCCAGCATCCTGAGACATCTGCGGTGTGTCGTCTTCGTTCTCGTCCTCGTCGGGGACACAGCCTTGTGTGAAGAAAAGTCGAGCTTCTTTTTGATGGGTGTTTGCAAAACTGTAATAGTTACCTAGAGATGGGGTTCTGGTGTCAATTAACTGATACGAATCTGATATAAATCAAGTCAGAGTAAATGTGACTCACCTCGAGGGACTTGGAAAACACAACCCTTTCCGGCACTAAACTGGACACCTGAGATATCCACTTGAACACGCCCGTGACAGACATAAAAGACCATGTGCATTTTCTTCGAGTTCTTGGGTTTCTTGACTCCGTCGGGTGGGAGTTCCACGACTCCAGACCCGATGAACGACGAGCTAAGCAGCTTCGCAAATCGGAATGTGGAGTCTTTGACTTCCCTGGTTTCAATTCCAGAGGGAGCATATGCAATGTCTGTGTCAACATTAGTAAAGGAACCAACTCTATAAAGGGGCTGGAGATTATACCTAGAACTTCTTCCTCCTTCGAACTGGTCTGTGTTTTCGCGTCCCATTTGAGAGTGTAGCCATGAAGAACACCGCCTTCCTTCTCCCAGAGATCAACATCCTCATCCTCATCTGAAGAGTCATCTTTTTGTTTCTTAGACTTTGATTTGTGCGACGTTGAGCGTTTCCCCTTCTTTTTCTTCTGTTCGGGTTCTAGTTCCTCGGTGCGAATAACCTCTTTAATGGTCGAAAGAGGGTATCGATGTCCCTCGGCTGCTTCCCCATCACCAAAGACACACCGTTCATTGCGCCAATATGCTAGTGGTCGGACGGAAACCCGCCCAGATCGAGTGTGAGTCGCACTGTTGTCGGTCGGGTTTTCGCGTTTGAGAATATACAAACTGCGGCCTTTCAAAGGGCCTGTGCGATTGGCATAATTCTCAACAACTCGATCTAATTCTGGTTCCAAAGGTTCACGCGCTGGTGGAGATGCTTTGGTGTTCCGCTTTTTGGTTGGTCTGGGGTCGGCATCTTCTTCAAGGCTACGGCGTTGAGACTTTGGACGTCCGCGCTGCGCGGGGGGTTTCGTCTGACCCTTATTTGCCTTGAGATTTTTTGGCGCGGCCTTCTTTGCTGGCTTGGAGGTTATAATGGGTTCTTCGCGAGGCGGAGTGGTGTCAGCCGTAGATGAATTGCCGTCATGATCGTGTTGGTCTTGCCCAGGAGAACCTGGCAGTTCCTCTGCAGCAACCGAGTCAGAGTCGACATTCAAACTGCCACCAAAATCTTGTTGTACTGTGGCGAATGCATTCGCGTTCTCGTCGCCGTCGCCGTCGGAATAGTCGGAAAAGTCATGTATGACAGCGGGCTCCAATTCTGCGGCTAGCTGTGCTTTTGTCGTGGGATTTTGACGTGTGCCATTCCTTTGGTTAGAGCGACCCACGTTCACCGATCGAGTGGAAAGAGGAGATGGATCTTGACGTGATTCTCCCTGTACGCCCGCGAAACCTTTGCCATTGGACGGACTAGACGACTCGAGAATATCTTGCGGGTCTGGAGTTGATTGCAACGCTGGAGTCCTCCGTGGAGACCCAGTGAGGCCAGTCTTCATCGGCGACCGCGCGGCAGGCGGGGGGAGAAAAGAGGTATGTGAGCCATTTGTGCCCTTAAGGAAGTCCATGGGATCTGGCGCATTACCTATAGAATTTGTATCAGCACACAGCGAGTCGTCAATTCTAACCACGAGATTAGCCCACCTTCATCGATCGACATGCCCTCAGACCCAACTGAGGAGTTATTTTCAACGTCTTCAAACCCATTCAACTCGACAGGCGACTTTTCAGGGGATGAGAAGAGACCATCTACTTCTTCCATTCCATGTTCGTCGCGTCGACCCTCTTTCAGAGATATACCAGTGCGCCTAGACGTACATAAGTATAAAGATCCTAGTATAACTGAAATCGAATATCGACTCACCTTCCTTTGGTTCCCACATTGGAGTAGTCGAAGTCGCGGGGCTTTCCGGACCCTCGTGCCATATTGAGAAGTTAAGCACCAGGACAGGATAGCAAATGAAATCAAAGACAGCAAAGCAGTCGAGAGAGACACAAAGTGGAGGAATGCGGAATTTAGGCGGGAAGACCAACACGCGCCCCCGCTAATCCCAAACGGTCGACGCGTTCGATCTTTTGAATTTCTTTGTATCTTCACTCTTCTTTTTTCTCTTTCTCTATAAAAAAAAAAACCCACGCAGTCTTCTACATTGCCTATTATGACAAAGGATACTTCCCTAGTCGATCCTCTCCAGGAATCTTCCACCTTTATTCCTCCTAGTGTGATTTCGGAACCCCTTCTCTCCGGCGAATCCTACACGTACTACACCCCATGTCCAAACGGAATCACGCCCCAAGAGACCTCATCCACAATTCATGATACAATTGAGAGTACACCATGTGTCTTAGGGGTCGATGAAGCCGGCCGTGGTCCAGTCCTAGGGCCAATGGTCTACGGTGCCTTCTATCTCCCTCTTGATCTCCACCACTCGCTTTTGACCGAAAAACACAGCTTTGACGACAGCAAAGTACTTACACCCGCTGTACGAGCAAATTTGATGCATCTATTGAATACACCGGGAGACTCATTGTTCGAGTCTTGCGGATATGCGGTCAAAGTACTTTCGGCGCGCGACATCTCTTCTGGCATGATGAGATCACCCACAGCAGTATACAACCTGAACGCCCAGGCTATGGACGCCACAGTCGAGATTATTCGAGGGGTAGTTGAAGACCTTGGAGTGGATGTGCGAGAGGTATATATTGACACGATTGGGAACCCCGCTACGTATCAGCAAAAATTGGAGCGAATCTTCCCCTCTCTCAAAATCACAGTGGCAAAGAAGGCCGATTCCTTGTATCCATGTGTTAGCGCCGCCAGTGTGGCAGCCAAGGTGACACGAGATGTTGCACTGGAAGTCATGTACGAGGCGGTGCTCCGGGCTGAGCAATCACTAAGCCCAGCCCCCGAGACTTGGGGAAGTGGCTATCCGTCGGACTCCAAGTGCGTCGGCTGGCTTCGACGAAACATGGACCCTGTGTTTGGTTGGGGCAACGAGTGTCGATTCAGCTGGGGCACTGCAAAGGAGATGCTGGAAATGAAAGGAGGAGCACGAGTCGACTGGCCCGACGAAGAGGAGGAGGGAGCCCCCCGGCTGGATGAGTTCTTACTATCATCAGGCCCCGGAAAAAGCACGGGCAAAGTTGGATTACGGGATTGGTACGGCCACAGACAAACTGAGGTCCTCTGAATGCGAATGCTCCGTGTGATGCGATTAGACATGAAGACTAATAAAACATTAATGATACCCCTTGCGTTTGCTTGACAAAGTATAGCAAGCGCGAGAACAAATGAAAGATGGAATAGCAAGTCCAATCGCGAATGCCATACAAAAGAAGAAAAAAGACTCGTACATAGAAATAATGGGTATCATGGGCGAAGAAGATATGGCTCATCTGTGGAACTTCACAGCGTAGCAGTTGAGAAGTAGAAGTTGTCCCAAAGGTATTCATAATCCTCCACAACGCTACCCACCAAGTCCAACAATGGCTTGCCTTTCATCTTGCCCGTTATACTGTGTAACCAGGACCTGTTTCACATTGTCAGTATCCAAACGGGAATTCAAGAGACAGGACAGAATCGGAGTTCTTACTTGGTGATGTTTTCATAGAATGCGCCTCGCATCATCCACCAGCCCATTGACCACCCGCGCTTCTTCAGTTCCTCTCGCTCAAGTCCTGTGAGTCCTCGAAGACCGCCGGCGACACGTTCACGGAAGTCCCGCTTTGCGAGCTGGCGGCAGCCATACTCCATCCCAAATCCAATAAGCCATGGCCGCCAGCTTCGTTTATCACCACTCCACTTTTGCATCGCCATTGCGTAGACGACAGGCCGAAGGATGTAGAGCACTTCAGCCAGCTGTCCTTGCCCCGTCGCCCGGTGGAGGAGGGCCTTCGGGGGTTTGATGTCATCTGCTGTAAGCACTTTGGAAATGAGATAGTTCGACACATCGTTTACGTCGGGTAGAGACGGAAGGGAAAGTCCCGTGCGAGGCATCGTCCAACTTAAGTCCGAAGGCCGCTCGCTGACTGGAGTGTCCATTCCGTTCCAGTCACTCTGTGGCTCCTCTTCTTCTGTTGTCCTTGGATCTACCTCGCGCTCTGGAAGTGGAGGACTGACGAGTGGTCTGGAGTTGGTCAATCGCAGAAGAAGCAAGCGGCAGACTGCCTTTGCAAATTCAATAAAGACAACCACGCGCCAGCGAGTTTTCTGTCCGCGCCGCCTCGCCGCCATCTCCCACAGAAGCTCGGTATACTGGAGCATTTGTAGCGCAAGAGCTACCTGGCGATATAGCGAGGAGCGAGAGGTCCAGTATTTAGTATACCGGGAATGCGGAGTGGGCGGTGGCCGAGGGACAGTCGATGGAAGCTGATCAACAACTCGCGAAACGAGAGAGTCATGGTATAATGATAATAACTGGACACCGGAGTGTACTGCAGGGGGTATCAGCACGCGCTCAAAGGCAAGTACAATTGTTACACTAACCACATTCTGAGGGTATCTCTGATTCGCGGTATCGCCCTGGTAGAGAATATTTGTTAGATTCTTCAATATTTGTTGAAAGCAAGGATGATTTACCTGGGATGATATAAGTTAAAGATCTCAGTGCTGACTCGACTTGACCAACCGAGCTAGCATTCTTGGTTACAAAGTCTTCATAAATAGAAAGCCATTTGGATGGTTGCAAGAGCGCCGGGGGTATTGGATTTTGGATATTGCGAACGGTTTCCATCTTAACCTTCAAGCATGTTAAGATAGCTGTGACCAAGGAGATGAGATCCGGGGGAGGGAGGTTACAGGGGCACGTGGTCCCGCTTCTGCGTCTGCCAAGACGTCTGGGCCGAGGTTGACGGCCTTTTTCAATACTTACATACATATTCAAGTCTTTGTATCATATTGAGATCTAAGCATTGCAAATAAACTATTATAGTTTCAGATATATTTTATGATGTTCTTTTCAGCTCATAGAGTAATACTGAATATTTGGCCATAGAAGTATGTTTTGCCTTTATTCATCCGCCCATGTCCATAACCCCCCAGGGCGCATAGCCTCTCGATATCGCTCTTCCACTTTCTCACGCTCCAACTTCTTGGCAGCTTCCAGGTCATCTTCCTCCTCTTGCGTATCTGGCATGTCAGTCCGCCAGAAGCCAGGGGGGGATTGAGCCCGCTGATGAGTATGCCGATGCCTTCCATATTGGTTGGCTAGGGCCCTGGCTCTCGCTTCCACTAGGAGATTTTCACGCTCTTCGCCACTCATATTTCGAAGCAATTGAGTATCCTCTCCTAGAAACTCTTGTAGAATTGCCTGGTCTTCTTCCTCTTGTTCTGCGCCGGACTGACCGGGAAGGCCCCCAAGGCGGGCCATGGCCCGGAACCGATCACCACAACATCCTGGGCGAGTACAGCCTGATATGCATTTGCGGTCATCCTTCTTTCGGACAACTGCATCATATGCGTAGTCAAGCCCTTGATTTCTAGCCGGGTTGATTTTGAAATGCTGTAACCCAAGGCGATGAAGAGGTCTTGCTCTGAATGGTTCATCATCGGGGTCTATATCTGGGGCCATTTGACTGGACATCTTAGGTCTTGTCTGATCAATCTGGGGTGTATCGTTCACCATTGTTGAGTCCGCATCGGAGATTTTGCTTGACAAATGAAGTGGTGATTTGGAGGGTACCGACCGTTCTAGAAGAGTTTCGAGGCGCCTCTGTGCAAATCCACCCATGGTCTTTGCTTCCGCAGGTCCGAGATTGACGCCGGAGCCGACCTTCGAAGATGTCCGCAAGTTTGTCGCATCATCACCGTCTTCTGCCAGAGCTGGTATTGCGCGTCGCTCTAGATCTTGAAGGCGCTTCATTGAAGATCTCTGTGCAGAGGACATGGCACCACGTGCATTACCGTCAACTGGTTGGAGTATAGATGACTGTTGAGATATATGCTGGCCTAGTGGTATTCGCTTTGAGCGATGTGCGTTACTTGTACTGTTCTCTGAATCCCCAGCGTCTTCAATATTGACATCTCGGTAGGCTTTCCGTTTCATTGGTGTTCGTATCGTGTCCCCTATCTCATCGAGATCTTGCGTGCTTGCAAATGGCAGTTCACTGTTGTGCATTGCGCTTCTCATTGGACTTGAGGACAGAATCTCATTTTTGACAACCGCAGGGTGCTCCGAACCCATGACCTCCCGCTGACTATGCACAATATTTCTGCTGGGAAGTGTTGGTGAAAGCCTTTGCCGATTTTGCTGTCGGAGGACATCGGACAAGGAACATATTGTATCAGAATATTCCGAGTGTTCCATCTCAGGTCTAGAAGAGCTAGACTGGGTGGAGGCCGACTCTGATGTTAAGTCGTGAATTATTTTTTGGTCATCTTCAACTTTCATATTTGCATGCACATAATCTGCACGAGTGATCCTTTGTGACAGGTTGGCGGCCTTGGCTGGAAGATCTGCGCGCTCTTCTCTGGGACGTTTCTTCGAGGAACCTTCGGCCTGCGAGTGTTGTTTGTCAACATCCTCGGGGTTGGGATTTTGCACCCTGCGGAATGTGACGGGTTGACCATTGAGAACAAGCGAAAATTCGTCACGCTCTAGTTGCTGATCCCATCGCCGTAGCTTCCTTTTATGCTGCAACACCCGGGACTTGAGACCACTCCAAGTTTGGATGAACGTCTGTAAATTTGTGTAAAGCGCGGTGTATTTGGCCTCAACTCTTTTCCGAGACTTCCGAACATTGTGATGATCATCGCCATCCATATCTTCCCCCCACAGGTTCCTCGGGTCGAATTCGGTCTCTAGATTGGCATATTTCCCAGGAAGTTCAAGATCCTGTGGATCAACTTCATATTGTTGGAGCTCACTCCGGAGTACCGTGATATCATGCTGAAGGTCTCGGATTCTTGTCTCTAATTGTCGCTGGGCTTGGATCGCCATTGATTCTTTAATTTCTGCCTCCTTGGCATGTGCATCAATATGCGATTTCATTTGCTCATAGGCACTATCGAAGGAGGCCTCACAGGCATTTGCCACAGCAGCATGTAGCTCCTTGACAACTTCCATTGTGAAATTTTTACGGCATTATGAGGGAAATGGCACGGATCATGAGAGAAGGGAGGGGAAAAAAAAACTCCCAAGTTGTAGACGTCCTGTCAGGTAGAGTGATATAAACGCGACGCGTCGAGACCAAATGGACAACACGTGAGCTTATCACTTAGCCGTGGGCGGATAAGCTTATCTCGAATATCCCTCCACTTTCAACCACTCTGTTCCTCCGACTGCGCGGAATGATTCCTCCGATTCAATGTACTAGTCTCCTCGCAAGTTGTTAGTCTGAGAAGAATGTCAAAACGTTGCGGAGACTACTGGGACTCCGATCTAGCGCAAAAGCGTATCCGTACTCGGAACGATATTGGGCCAGTCGATCGTCTGTCTCGTCTGAGCAATGAGCTGCTGCTCCATATCCTTTCCTTCTTACCAGTATCATCTCTTAATGTGTGTCAAAGGTATGCTCCCTTTGTGATTAGTCTTTCTCTTAGGAGTTTTGCTGACTTGCTCCAAACAGGTTATCACATCGCTTTCATGCCCTTGGTGGGGACTCCGAGATATGGAAAAGGCAATACTACTCGCAATGGGTACGGCCCCGTGCCCGCCGCCTTGCAAATACTAGACGCACAACCATTCCAGTCAAAACAAATTATTCACCCAAGGTCGCAACATGGTTCGATCATGGGCACTTAGCACAGGAGGGCAATTGGAAACAGAAATATCGACTCCGGCATAATTGGTCCAAAGGGTTATGCCGGGTTACAGAAGTGGAGTTTCCTCGGCCACCATGCCCTCCTACACTGATCAGGTTTTGTGCTGGGGTTGTCTTCACTGCAGATTCAGCGCACGGGCTCCGGGCATGGGCCACAAGAGACTCAGCATGTTGTCTTGCAAAAATTCCTTTGTCAACTCCATCGAAATCACCAGCTATGGCTCCAACTGCCTTGGCAGTAAGCCAGATCCAAGATATGATTGAGATCTCCGTCGGACTGGAAAATGGTCACTTCAGCCTTTTCGTCTTGAATCTTCGAACGTCACAGCTAGACTTGCAGTCCTCTCATGTGGGCTCCAGTGGTGCTGCAATAACAGCAATGGCCCTCTCGTCGCCGTATTTGATGGTAGTATCCCAGCACAAAGATCTGAATTTGTACAATCTGCGACCTGGCAACCATCAAGCAGGGGAAGCCGAGGCCTTCGAACCCCGCCAGGTTGCCTCCCTCAAAGCAGATAACATTGTTGCACCCATGACACTATCACTGAGAGTCTCATCCTTTGAAATCGTCGCTACTATTGTGTATAGTTTCTTCCACATTGGCTGTGGGTGGTCTCTGGGAATTCAAGAGTTGCGTCTAGGCAAAGATGGACAACAGCTTGATTCACGACTGGCTACTACAGTGGATTCCCAATATGAAATAACGCCCCTTCAATCCAGAAAAAGGCGCTCCGAATCCTTTGACGATCAACCTCCCATAACCCCTGGGACACCATCTATCCTACATCAACAGCCTCCAACCTCTATGTCTTATTCCCATCCATATTTGCTGACCTCCCATTCCGATAACACGTTGACTATGTACCTTGTGGTATCTACATCGGAAAATTTGTTCGTCCAAGGTGGCCGGCGACTTTGGGGACATACCTCTTCCGTATCTGCTGTTCAGGTGACCAACCGCGGGAAAGCTATCTCTGTAAGCTCTCGGGGGGATGAGATTCGAATATGGGAGTTGGAGACGGCAATATCATCTCTGGGCAGCCGCAGATTCTTTGAGGAGAACAGTGTTCAGCTCAACGCTGGGAATAAGTCGGAGTCAGGAAAGATTTACCACAATTTGAGTGTAAATGTGGAATCGCAAGGATTGACTCTGCCTATCGGGTTTGATGAAGAACGGGTACTTCTTCTTCGAGAAAAGACCGGAACACAGCTACTTGAATGTTACGACTTTACCTAAGTATGTATATATATATATATATATATCAAGGTATGCCAAGGTATAGAAAAGAAAGATCACTCTAACTTGCATTAGCTGACGTGTTAGACCAATTAAACTGTCTCCTTTGGGGGGGGTAGCACAAGGTACTCATGGACTGGGGACCCCTGGCAGGACAGTTATATAAAAGTCGGGGAACCTTGGAATAATTTCTTTTTCTCCCTTTTCTGTTTTCAATCCGGAGATCTTCAATTGCCATATAGATCTCCTTCAAAGATCAAGACAGATTTATAGTCATGGATATAAAACAAGATAGAAGGAAAACTTCCCATCAGGGCGGTCAGCTTTACGAGCGGGAAGATTTCTCCCCCGCACTACAATATTATTTTTCCAGACTCTTCAACTTCTTCAACTTTTTCTCTTTATAAAATTCAACCCTCTTCTTATTCAATATGGACTTCCCTCCTGCCGGACGTGGTGGCTGCTTCAACTGTATGTTCTTTTTTTTTCCTCTTGAAATCCCGACGTCATATATTCCGAAGCTTAGCTTGTGATAACTCTCTGACCTTTGCGCCAATTGATACCTTTTTTTAAAAAATATTTTTTTTACTAACGCTCTTTACAGGCGGCGAGGCCTCTCATCAGGTAATTACGACCTTTGCCTGGCATTGAAATTTCTCCAGATTTTTCTGGTAAATAAAATCAAAAGCTTACCTCTTTATAGGCCAAGGACTGCCCTAAGAAGGGAAACCCTACCTGGTAAATTCCCTTTTCCCTTGGATCAAATAAAAAAGCTAACCCAATCTCTAAATAGCTACAACTGCAACGGTATGTCCATCTCAACGTGATCTATAGTCCACGATTCGAACATTTGGACTAGTTATTAGAACTTTGCTAATCAAAGTCAAACCACAATTATAGGCCAGGGTCACTTGAGTAAGTTCAAGATGAAATACCTCTATTCGAACTTGACTAACATTTACAAAGGCCGTGAATGCCAGGAGCCTCCCAAGGAGAAATCATGCTACCGTTGCGGCCAGACTGGACATCTTTCCCGCGAATGCCCCCAGGGCGGCGACAGCAACTACAGCGGTGGTGGTTCCCAGGAATGCTACAAGTGCGGACAGGTCGGTCACATTGCACGCAACTGCTCTCAGGGTGGTAACTACGGCGGTGGTTACAATGCTGGTGGCAACTACGGTGGTTTCGGTGGTCCTGGTGGTCGCCAGCAGACCTGTTACTCCTGCGGTGGTTTCGGCCACATGGCCCGTGACTGCACTCAGGGTCAGAAGTGCTACAACTGTCAGTCATCTCTTCGCTTTCCCTCTCTGGGATCTGCTACTAACTTATATAATTAGGCGGCGAAGTTGGCCACGTCTCTCGTGACTGCCCCACTGAAGCCAAGGGTGAGCGCATGTGCTACAAGTGCAAGCAGCCCGGTCACGTTCAATCCGCTTGCCCTAACTAAGATGCCGTTTGCATTGCTCTTTTGGTCAACATCTTTCTGCAGTTTCCATGGGATTGGACGACATTTTTCATGCATGCACGAAACGAATTTCTCTTTTTTTCCTGAAAATGTATGATTAGAGATCAATGCCTGATAAGGTTGACATGATCTAACTTTTGATGCCTCCTACCTAGGTTGTTTGGTTATTTTTCGGGTTTTATAATAAGTATAAAATGTGAAGTAGGAAGAGACTGGCAAATACTCGTGTTTGCATATTTTAATTCTCTTGAGCCGATCTCTCGTGGATTGGGAGTCGATGCATTCTGCTACATAGCTTAACATCGATTCTGTTTCAAAGTCATACATCACATATTCGGCTTTCAGAGAGTGGAGATCCGCGTAGCGCTCGTAGCTTGATTACGAGCTGCAACTACACATCATAGCCCTCTTGTACTTGGGGACATCCCCACAGAAGCGCTCTTCCTCTTCCTTGTGAAGACCCCACTGATCGTTGAACGGGTTCAAAGACATCTGCATAATCCGCTCTAGAATATCTCGGTCTCCTTTGCGCTCCACGCGCTCAATGACCTCGTCGAGAATCCACCCCCGAGGCACAAACTATCAATGGGTTAGTCAATCCTCACCGGACTTGAGAAAGAATACTCCAACGGGTGCTTACATTCGGGTTGACGGATTTCATGGCCTTAATTCTTCCCTCATCGTTCTCGGGGCCCCAGTCCTCAAGCACGCGAAGCCGCCAACTATTCAGCCATTTCGCAATGCGATCTCTAGCTGTAGCCTCGGTGTATCCAATCCCACCGAACCCTTCAGAGTGGAAGAAGACCGAGGATGCCTCTCTTCGGCCTTCTTCGGTCTCCAGACTGGATAGTGGCAGCCCCGAAAGCCGGCGGAAGAAGTGATTGAAGTCTAGTTCGAGTGCTTCAAGTGTGTCTAGCATCTCTGAAAAGAGATTCTGGAAGTCTGACTCAGCCTGTGTTTTGAGTCCTAGCCTCTGACCCATCAAGCGCTTGTATTCGTTTAGGAATACTGCTTTGAACTCCTCGCCCACACGCTCAATGATTTTCTCCGCGCGTTTAATGAGCTCCGGTTCAAACTCCTCCGTCACCCCATCGTTGACGAAGCTTTCATCGTCAACCCGATTTCCGGCCCCAATCAACTCACCTAGCGACTCTCCGAGTCGGACCAAATTCCACCAGATAATGCTGGGCTGGTTGCGATAGGCGTATCGCAGCATGTGGTCATCATGGTTCGGCGTGTACTGGGGATCAAAGTTGTCCATAAATGCGAACGGGCCGTAGTCTAGCGATAAGCCATAAATAGATGTGTTGTCAGTGTTTAGCACGCCATTCATGAACCCGTAGGCCTGCCAGGCGGCCACTGTCTTCGCATTGCGGCGAGCTATTTCTCGATATAGTCTAGCAAATCGATTCTCCTGTACATCCTCGTGTTCTTGTACCTGGTCGGCCGTGATACCTCTCTGTGGATTGTCGATTTGCACGGAAGACTGCTGGTCATGCAGCGATACAATGGCAGGAAGGGATTCCCACCCATTGAAAACGTCTTCTGCGACATATGTCGCAAGTTTTCTGATCAGCTCACGATCTCCACGAGTGCGAAGAAGATCAAAAGTGCCAATTCTTAACCAAGATTCAGCAAACCGAGCAACTATTGCTCCTGGTTCAAGACGCTCTCGCAATACCTTGGCATTGGGAACCAAGGTGAGTGAGAGTGCCCGGGTGGTTGGTATACCAAGGGCAGAGAGTGCTGGCAATGTTTCAGTGGTCTGTCTTTAGGTTGCATGCAGGTTTTCTTACCTTCTGAGACCACGAATTCACGGATACTTGACCGGAGGACAGCCTTGCCATCTGCGAACCGCGAATAGGGTGTTCTGCCTGCTCCTTTCAGTTGCAGCTCATACCGCCTATTTGTCTGGGGGTTAGTGCATTCAAAGAGACTGATTGCACGCTAATAGGTCGCCCATTAGTATCTCTAGTGAGGAGGAATCGTTTACATGTTAACTTGTTAACTTACCCCGTCTCCAAGTTGTCCAGCCCATGAACCACTACAGGTTGTCAGTCGTGAACATTATATCTCGAGCTCCTTTACGAGCTCCTTTCATAGCTTACAATTGCCACCCTGTGTTGGGTTAGCCTCTTTGGATTTCTCAAGGATTGACAACGTGGATACTGACCTCCATAACACTGTGCCCATGGGTAGATTCCACCCTGTTCCTCTTTCCACCAAATCTCATTCCCAGCAACCAATGCCTTGAATTGTGACGTTTGCTCCTCGCCTAGTTTCAATCCCAAGTCATTCATTGCTTTTAAGCTTACTCCTAGTAGTTCTGGCTCATCGGTCTGCTCTGGGCGGACATATGTGAACAAAGCTCCTTTGACCATGCGAGGCCCCAAAGCTTCTCGCGGAGCCTTATGCGAGGATTCTGGCGTATCAAATGCCGGATCAGGTGGCAATTTAGATGTGAAAACATTTGATTTTGGTAATTCAGCCAGGGAGATCCCGACAGTCGAAAGGTGTGATGCCATCTGGTTTAAGCGATTCCGAACCGGTAGCCGAAAGCTCCGTGAAAACATATAATTCCTTGAACGCAAGGGCACACGGAAATTCATAGAGAGAGTAATTGTTGAAGGATATCCCAAGTGAAGAAGTATGGCGAGGGTCAAGAATGACATAATTGACATTATTAATCAACCCTTTCGTACCTAGGTAAGGTACTAAGGTACCTCTAAGGTACGGCCTAGGTATCCACTTAACAGCTTCTCTCCATAGCTATATTATCATTTTATAGAAGGACATTGAAATGGCAAACATCATTTCATCTATCCCTACGTTGGACCTCAATGATGGTACCTCAGTCCCTATAGTGAGTAAAACAGCCAGTATCCCCATATAATATGGGGTATTCTCTGACAAATACAGCTTGGATATGGCACTGGCACCGCCTGGTTTAAGAGTTCTACGGACAGCGGTATCAATCAGGAATTGATAGACTCAATCAAGACGGCAACGAAGCTAGGATACTACCACCTTGATGGAGCTGAAATCTACCAGACCGAAGAGGAAGTGGGACAGGCAATCAAAGAGAGCGGGGTAGCTCGAGAGAAACTCATCGTTACAACCAAGGTCATCACCAATATCACCGATATTTCTCAGGCCATTGATACCAGCCTCAAGAAACTCCAGCTTGACTATGTGGACCTGTAAGCGAACTCCAATTTGGTGTGAGTAATGGCTCGCCCCAGGAAGCACTGTTAATAATTGGAGCAGGTACTTGATCCATGCTCCGTACTTTGCCAAGTCCGAGGAAGAACTTCAATCTGCTTGGGCTGCTATGGAGCGAGTGAAGGCATCTGGAAAAGCCCGGTCCATTGGCGTGTCCAATTTTCTACAAAGTGACTTGGAGACTATTCTCCAAACTGCCAAAGTGGTGCCATCTGTGAATCAGATTGAGTTTCATCCTTACCTTCAACATGGCAATCTTATTCTTTACCAAGAGAGTAAAGGTATCAAAACTGTTAGTTATGGGGGCCTCACCCCTGTCACCCGGGCTCAGGGTGGGCCATTAGACCCTCTACTCTCTTCCTTGGCCACCAAATATGCTGTTAGTCAGTCTGAGATCTTGTTACGCTGGATCATGGACCGTGGCTATGTGGCCATCACCACAAGTGGCAAAGAATCTCGCCTGAACAGCTATTTACGGGCATTTACATTCAAACTGACACCTCACGAAGTTGATGAATTGTCATACATAGGGGAGAAGCATCATTACCGTGCATTCTGGCGTGAAAAATTTGCAGAGAATGATCGTTCCTGAATATCAGGAGGTTCAAACCCTGTACATGTCAACTGGTGGTATAAGAAGTGAAGACCTTTTATATAGATTCATGTGCCTCTCTGAAGGGCTGTATGTAATGAAATTGTATGGTAACGATAAGGCCGATAAGCAACACTCTCCACGGGTAACCTCACGTAACCTTCTCCAATTCATCTTCTTTCATTCTATCCGGGGATATTTCCCATCGCTCCTTCATGGGAATCCCTCTCATTGTGACACATCCCGCTTTTTCTTTGTTACCTCACTCGTGTTTATCTCTACCTCCCAATTGAGCGGCTTCGAAATCCCAGGGTTATGGGAACACCCCCACGCGCGACAGTGATAGGATGCCCTGATTATTCGGCACCTGAACAAGGCCGGATCTTGTACCTCCACTATCCTTCACTTGGCTCAATGCGTTGACTATCACCAGGCAACTTGCCATACCGACTAGAGAAATAGGACTCAGGATAGACTTTGACTTGAATTGTGCTCGGAAGCGCGTATGATACTAGCATCTCTTGTGGAAGCACAAATCGCGAAACCCTGCACACTGCGATGTCGGTGAACGAAAAACGCCTTTCCCAGCCCACCATAACTCCCCGAGCTGCGAGTTCCCCCTCGTCAGATCGTGAAGTGCTTGACCAACGACTGCAGCGCCTCTCCGACGACATTCTCCCCCCCGTTCCATATTTACTCACATTTCCGACCAAAACTCCCTTTAACCTGGGGAACCGGTCCGCCAACAATTGGGCTGTAGGGCATGACAGACCCTTCAGCTTGGAGGAGCAGCAACTTCAGTATATGACCTTCTTGACACACCACGACACAGATTCATTGCTTCTAGCCGTCGGCGACTGGTCGGACGAAACGGGGCGCATGATGGCCGATCGATCAACAGCCCCAAGCGCCAGAGAAAGTTCAAGAGAAACCGTGGCCAAAAAGAAGATTAGTCTCAAGGATTACAAGTCTCAGAAGACCAGTAACATTGTCGCATCCCCCGTTGGCCTTGGCTTCGAATCGGGTAGCCGAGGCGCATCAAGCTCCTCCAAGTCCGAGGAAAGACGACAGACAACATCTTTTGAACACCTCAAGAATGACAATAAGACTAAAATGCCTCGAATGCCGCCGAAGTCACACGCGCGTCACTCTCCCGAAAGAGCGGGTCAGAAACGGCCATCTGGGTCCGAACTTGAATTCCCTAACCCCTCAGCGACTAAGAAGTCCGAAGCACATCCCACAAAGAAACTCAGACTATCTCCCGAGAAAGAGACGCGCCGAGAGTCCAGCCCTGCCAAATCGCACTCCCCCAGGCTGCCCGCACTTCTTTCGCCCACACTCCCACCCACATCGGGAGGCCCGAGACTTCCACGCCTGCTGTCCCCTACCCTCCCCCCAGATATTGAAAAGGAGTTAGCCCGCCTTGAGGACCGTTCGCCCCCTCGGAATAGTCGGGCAGGGAAGGGATTGCCTATCAAGGAGTCCAATACCCATGAACATTTAAAAGACCACGCCCATGCAGACCCACAGAAGACGCAACTTCTTACCAAACTGCGGTACGGAAGAGCGAACCGAAAGCGTGTCGAAGCTTTGCTTAAATTTTCCGGTAAAAGGAAAGCACATATGTCAGATTCACCGGTCAGCCAGGATACCGATCGTGATGATATCTCACATCCCAGGAAGAAAGGGGGAGAGACTGATTTGTCTCGTGGGCACGCTTTCGGGGATCAGAAAGGCAGGAAGCATGAGACTGACGAAACACTTGGCCCCCAAAATGGTCGCTCAAAGGATCCAAAACCCTTTGATGAAAAGCCTCGAACACCAATCTCTCAGCCATATTTGACCTCTCATTCAATCGGTGACAAAACCAAAGCAGCTTCCATCACGCCGGTGAAAGACTTAAAACCTCCTACCTATCATCGAAATAATCTCGGAGAGACTGATGGCAAGACTCCTTCTTACCCCACCAACAAACGTCATTATATTGATCCCGGGTCAATCATAAAAGCTTCTCCCACACAGGCAGATGGTCGCACGCGCAATGAGCGGCAGATATGGTGGGATGAATGGCAAAAGTTTGCAAGCATCGGTCGTGAATTAAAACATGCCGCAGAGCGGCATACCTCTAAAACCGGGACCTCGGTCACTGATGAAAAGCTAGCCGTTGTGACTGCAATCGAAGCGTTGTTGTCCTTTATCATGGCATTTGTAGCGAACGACCAGGCCAAGGCTTCATCACGCCAAGTCGGGGATTCCTCAACATGGCTGTCTATTGTGCCATACTGGCGTGTGGTCAAGAAGAACAGTGTACCATATCCGGCATTGAACAGTCTCTGCTTGCTCCTTGGCGCTGTGTCATTCACTGCCATTCACAGTCTTGATCTTGAACGCCTTGCCATAACCCCAATTCCCGGAGAGCACACCCCGGTCCCTACGCCTGGGAGTGATGGAAATGCAGCTCTATCGGACGAGAACAGGAAAAGTAGGAAGGAATTCTCAGAACTGAAGGCTCGTCTTCCTGAGTTCTATAAGGATTCCCAGAGGCTATGGCTAGAGGGCACCCGCGGTCTATCCGAAGATGTCCTTGGCCATGAGTTCCCTACGATCTGGGCTCAGCGATCTCGAAATTACTCGGAGCGAGGCCGGTCCTCTCTAAAGGCTGGCAACTACGCTGGAAGTTATTTCTTACCACTTGGTGGCACTACTCCTCCCATCGAAGTGGTTCGGTTTGGCTGGTCCCTGCTGAAAGAATGGTGCTCGAAAGAACGAGTGGAGTGGAATGGACGTCTTGGTCTCTAATTCATGTCTCATATTTGTCCCCCATCTGTTTTCTTTTTTTTTCTTTTTTTTTTCGCTCGTTCGGGATATGTTTCATATGGCGTCTCGGAGGCCTTTCTTCTTCCTTCACACAGGTCATTGCCTTTCCCTTTATTTTCTCATGATACCACGAGCCCTGGATTTTCATGTAGCTATTTGCAATTCGAATATACCATGGGGATGCAAAATAATACATTATTTTCTCACATAGTTTAGTATCGTGTCCAAGATGGATGTATTTGTTTGTCAGATCTTGAAAAAGAAATCTACCTAGAAGTGAAAATTTTCGCTAGAGCATATAGAAATATTATAACCGCTCAACCGTACAAATGGCGCGAAAGTCATAAAAAAAGAGCACATACATTAGGGACCTATAAGATGAAGAAAAGAGGGAAAAATCAACCTAGACCTCTTGATATTCATGTCCGAAGCGAGGCTGCGAATCACCAAAGAGCCAACCAGCCTCACGGCAGTACCGAGCTTCTCTACCGTAAATGCCGACTTCGCTTGCCCAGCAAATTACCGCTGCATCTACAATATCTGCGATCACACCTTCCATTGTGCCCAGTGTGGTCCAGCCAATTGTTCCAGCAATAAGCCCAACAACATAGGCATAAAGACTGCCACGAATGGTGCCACCGGACGCAGACGTTGTCAGGCTCCGAGCAGTGGTCACCCAACCACCGAACCCTAGGGCCAAGGACATCATGAAACGGGCAGCGTAGAGGATCAATTTAGATAGCCGGTATGAGAGTAGAGACCCCGAACTCCGGGGGGACCGAGAATAGGAACGGGGGTGTAAAGACGTTGAGGCTGCCGATGGAGCAAGAATAGTCATTTGGCTCAAACCTCGGGAGGAAGCGGCAAGAGGCTGCGAATGAATCGCTGCGTAGGTGAGAGAAAGAGGATTGGTCAAGTAAGTAATTGGGGTGGGGACGAGTGAATAGGCGAACAGACTGAGCAACGAGGAGATGCGACCTGGTAGCAAGATCAGAGGAAGTCGAACCAGCAACCCTAGTATTCTAGACAAAGAGATAGTTCCAAAGAGCGTTGTGCTTGCATGAATGATGGCTGCCTGAACAATTTGCCTCGAGGTAGGTGCGGGTGTGGCCAAACGATGGAAATACCACTGGCTCACTGTTGCAGCGGTGACAGCACGCTGGATGCCTGCGATGACACCGATCGACCACAGATAAATAACAACGAAATAGATACCGAGCCACCAGCTACCCACATCAATAAGGAATGATTTTGAGCTAACAAGATGGCCACCCAAGAAGACGCGAGTGAACATCAGCATCCAGATCCACGTCCAGGAAACAACGCAGACCAAGGTACCTAGTCCAAGAGCAAGCAGCTCGGGATTGGCGACCAAGATTCGGCAGGCAAATTCAAGAATGCCTATCGCCTTCCCTATAGACTGGCGGCCGCGCACAACATTGTAGATCCACATGGTAGCTATGAGAAACGGGACAGCAGAGCCCCATCTCATCGCCTTGTCCTGGATACTCATTCCATGCCATGGTCCCTTGAAACTTGAGATAAAAGGATATAGAGAGAAAGAGTATAAGATAATGGGAACGGCGACTAGGATCACATGGACCAAGAGTCGCACATAAGACCGTAGCAAGGCCAACCAGAGAAGCGACACAAGAACCGATACAATGGTATATATCCCGAGAAGGAAAAATGATCCATGAACAGTCATGTATATTGTATCGCCCCATCTTGATTTGTCTCCAGATGGGGTAGATGTGTGAAGATAGACGAGAAATGCTGACGCAAACAATCCCGCGAGAGATATCAAAAATAACTGGCCCCAGAAAACATCATGCACTGTGTTTTCCGAGGCTATCGGTGATACAGATGTTGGGAATGAGCTTGCCGAGCTGGGCGGCCGTGGAGCATCTTGTGATAAAAGATCAGCCCGTTCTACAGTAGGTCCATGCTGGCTGGGACCAGAGGACTCCTTCAGTACTTCTCGTTCTCGGAATCGCTGAACAGGTGGATCGTGGAAACCGGGACTGGATAACACCTGACCATTGTCAACATCGGCCCGTAAAGAATCCTCCAGACCGACATCAACTAGATGGACTCGAATTTTGCTGCTGCTTGGGCTGGATCGAGATGTCGGTTCATGCTCTGGGCCTTCCGCCACAGACTCGATAGGAAAAGGACGAGCACCCAGAGCAACCTCTTCCCCCCGCCATGAGCTCTTGATGCCTTTCCCATTGCCAGGATGATCATCGTATGGTGAGCTTTCCTCGTGACCTAAACGTTCAGAGTCTTCAAGCTCCGAAGATTCCTTCAAGTTGCTATCACCAAAATGGCGCCTTGATCGTTGGAGTGCATAAAAATCAGCGATTTCGCGCTCACGTTCTGTTTCGTCATCTTCCTCTCGGAATTCATCAGTGGCACTGAAGAAAAGGGGAGCTTGTTGAGCTGCGCTGCGTTGGGCAAAAGGAAAATGAGATGTTTGGGATGCACCCGGTCGATAAGTATCGTTAGGTCGTAAGAATGATCGCGATGAGGGGTGACGAGGGTTGCCTTGATGTTGACTAGGGCGGCTACGACCCGTCCTTTGAACCTCATCTGGCCGAGAGGCTAATCGCGACTGTGACTGAGCAAGGAATCGTGAGGCATCTAAGGAAAAATATTAGCCATATAGCCTTCTGATATTCAAGACCGTCCAGTTCCTACATTCAGAGAACATGGCCTGTTGTCACAACAAAGTGCGGTGTGTGAACAGGGCCAGTGATGAATCACTAATGAAATCAAATACGATCGGATATTAGAGAGTAAATGGAGGGAAGAGAGAAAAGACTGTTAATTTGTTTGAGATATGCCAGATCTAAGAGATATAGAGAGATAGAGAGGTGTTTTCTGGGAATAAAGTGAAGAGCTATATGGTCACGCAGCTGATGAAAGCGTCATACGGGCACGTCAGGCTTGATAGATGACTCAGCTGATAACAGGTGAGGTCTCCAAACATACCATAGGTAAACTGACCTCTCTTTCTTTCCCATCTCTAATTCTGGATTTTTCTACTACTCTCCATGTCACAGCCATGGGATTATATTGCTAAGCTTGTCTGCATTGGTGACTCTGGCACTGGCAAGTCCAGCGTAAGTGCTATCAGTCTTTTGACTTCGGGCCTCCGCTAACCAAACAATAGCTCACCATCCGACTTTGTGAAGGCCGATTTTCCCCATCTCATGATGTGACCATCGGAGTCGAGTTTGGATCGCGAATCGTGCCAGTTGGTCCTCCAGCTTCGCTGGAGCTAGAACTTGATGAGCCTGCTCCCGGGTCATCGGGTGATACATTGCCAGAAGCGACTACCATCTCCGGCCTTCCTGCCCCTCCACGAAAGCCACAAGATTCTCCCAATCAGAAACGCATGAAACTTTCCCTGTGGGATACTGCTGGACAAGAGACATACAAGTCTATCACCCGCTCTTACTTCCGGGGCGCCTCTGGCGCTCTCCTAGTCTTTGATATATCCAGGCACTCGACCTTTGTATCCTGCACCCAGTGGCTGCAGGATTTACGGCATATTGCAGAAGATGGCATCGTTGTCATTTTGGTCGGTAATAAGACTGATCTGACGGGTTCTAGTTCTGGATCAAATCAAAGGCAGGTCACCCAGGAGGAGGCCGAAGAGTGGTGTCGCATGAACAACGTGGTTCGCTATGTTGAAACGAGTGCCAAATCTGGAGATGGTGTCGAACGAGCATTCCTGGAAGTTGCCGAGAGAATCTATCGTAACATTGAAACTGGCAAATACGACCTCAATGATCGGCGGAGCGGCGTAAAAGGGTTCGGGGCCTCAGGGGGAGCGAACACCGGAGTGCCTAGAACTGTCACATTGGGAATGGATGATGCTATGCGCAAAGGTGGCAATGGCTGGAGTAGGGGGTGTTGCTAAATCTACAGTCCGGTTGCTAAATCGGCAAAGCTCGTAATAACAAATAGCCAGCAACAACACATGGTCCCGACTTATCTTCATATTCAACTAAATTGTTACCAGACACCAAATGTGACTATGACCGTCGAAAGTAACATCGCAAATTTTCTTTACAAATACAGAAAGCAAAGTGAAATTATCCGTGTTGATACAAGTACCCATGTCGGCATATAAGGTCCCAGTTTTGAGGTAGTCAACACGAGTTAACAAGCAGAGATGACGAGAACATGTCATCAAGCGATTCATGATTAGTTCACATTCGCCATTTTCCATCCGGGGAGCCAACGTAGGTGAGCCCATTGCTGGTTAGAACCCTCCATTCCAAACACGATAGCTCGGAAATGAATGAACAATCCGACAATAATCACGTAGAGGAAGACATATACCGCCGCAGACAATTTGGGATTCATCCTCCGTGTCACCCAATCAACGCAGAAGCCGAAGTTTAGGATGGCATAGTAGAGAGCCGGATAATAATGGTGGACATAAGTGACGCGGGCCATAATGATAAAGGGAAGGTAATGCAAGACCCATCCGATGACGGGGTACAAGCCAGAGTAGTGGATGTGACTAATTTCCTCATTGCTGAGATCAGTGTACCCTCTCTGCCAGCGCAAAAGGTACCAAAGGAACAGAAGACCAAATCCACCAAGAGTGGCAGTGCTTCCCCAATAGACTAGGGGATTTCCTAGGAGATAGTATTTGACAACGTTATCATCCCAAGAACACATGCGCAGGCCGACATTGAGAATCGGCCATTGCCAAAACTTGGAAGCCAAGTCATCTTGCTTGTCAGGATCAGGAACCAGAGCATTGTTGGAGGTCATCATGGCCACATTCAGGTGGATGAAGTCCTTCAAGAAGGGCGATTTATAGGAGCCAGGATCACCAGGAGGCACTGTACATAGGTCAGCAAGTCTGATCGACCTCATAAATCCCGAGTTTTTTTTTTTGGGGGGGGGAGGGGGGGGACCAACTTACAGCGATCATTGGTATGAGATTCAACATTCCAGTGGGTGTACACATCACCGGGTTTGTTTTCTTTGGTACACGTTGTTTCAATCTGCTTGAAGCCCCATTGAGGTAGGTTTACATTTCCTGCCCGCAGGTAGCAGCCTAGGACTGGATGGCGGAGGCGGAATGCTGTTGTGAGTGTCCGGATCCTAGATCGGTCCCGGGATGCAACATCATCGACCACCTCTACTTTCCAGTGGTCTTTTTCGTCTCCAATGGTAATATTTCCATAGGCCGACACCTCGTGGTGTGATTTAGTGATTGGGGCTGGAATAGCGTGGGAGTGCAGGTTGCGACCGGTCTGTCCATGAATAAGTCGAATGACATCGCCATCACCAACAAACCGCAGATCAGCCGTGGCATCATAGTCTGGCTCCTGTCGATTAGGGTAGATGAACCAGTCGTTGTTCGCATCTTTGTGGTGGTAGCAGGTGACCTGCTGCTGCATGGATCCCTCCGGGAAGGTTTGAACGTGGGAATGAAGAAGCCCTCCTCCGTAGCCCATATTTTTGAGGGTGATACGCGACCCAATTGCAAGCTCAAGAGGGCTATCTCTACCGACTTCGGTACCGTGTAGGTTCGCTTGGAAAAGAGAGCTCATCTGGGCATCACCTGGACCACTGTTCGCCAGCACCAAGAAGTGCAGATAAAAAGAAAACATGTAGACCAAGATTGGAATAACAATCAATCCCACAACACGAGCAATCAAGTGCTTTGCGAGCACAGCCTATCCGAGTGCATCCATATTAGCCAGCTAATCGGTGATTGACTTGAGCAGGCGACAGGGGCTGAAAGCAGGTACTCACCCGTGGCATCTTCAGGTCGCCAAATTTATTCCACAGATCATCAATGGTGTAAAGACCGACAAGAGCAGTGCAGAAGAAACCGACCCATTTGACACTGCAGACACATCCAATGCTCAGACCAGTCAAGCAGAGCCAGGCATACCATTCCAGCGAAAAGCTAGCATGCTGCAATCGATGGAATCTTGCCCAGCACATTGTAGTAGTGAATGTGAAGCAGAGCAGCATTGAGTCAAGAAGTATAAACCGAGAAATTGTGGCGTAGGAGTTCTCACATAGCACCATTAGACTGATCAACCATACTGTAGGCCGACGAAAGTTCAACTCTCGCGCAGTGTAGTAGGCAAGGGGAATGCAGACTATACCAAAGGCAGCATTGAAGGCTCGCATAAAGGTATAGTTCACATCTTCTGGATACTTCTCGCCGGATTTGAATTCAAAGGACCCATTATAGCCAGCAAGATAGCCGGACAGGCCAACTAGCATTTTCCCCAAAGGCGGGTGGACATCGAAGTAGAACTCGCGTTTGAGATAGTGAGAACCGAATTTTCCGAAGTGGGCCTCATCCCAGGTCACAATGTTGGAGCGGCCAATCTGGTACAAGCGAGTGAAGAGGGCGAGGGCAGTCAAGATTATAGGAGCAATGATCGGCTCCCAGTTAGCTAGCACATGGAGGAACGAGGGTGACTGATCAGGGTAAGTTAGGAGAGCGTATATAATGTCAAAGAAGGTTATCTCACCTGTGGTCTAGCTTTCTTCACATCTTCATCATTCACCCGGTTTGAGTCCAAATGAACATTGCTAGTATCAGGGATATTTCTTCGACGGAGGTCGGATTCATGTTTGGCGCCCGTGCTCACGGCAGTGTCTAGGCCCACCATATTGCTAGTATATTTTGTTTTTCGAAAGAAGTCGAAAATGGGAGTAGGAATTCAAGAGGAATACCGAGGTAGACCGATAATAGAAGAGCGAATAGCTTAAGAGAACATAGCCATAGGCAAATGAGAGAAACAAATCTAGATAGATAAGTAAACTCAATTAAAAAAAGAAAAAAAAAAGAGAAGAATAGAAAGGTGAAGGGAGTGGGCTGAGAGAAGTAAAGGAGAAAGTGAGATCCGTGGCCTCAAGGAGAGGATAAACAAGTCCACTTTTAGCGGGCCGTTTTCAGAACGTGGCCCTTGTAATTCCGACTTTACCTTGTGCTATAAATATCTTTGAATACTTATACTTATTACTGATATTTATATAAATATATATACTGTAACAAGAAAACTCTCAGCCAATACATCTATACTAAAAGCCCCCATAGCCAAAAAAAGAATATCACAGGATTTGGATATGTACTGTGAACGTCAAATCAGAAGACCATAAGTAGGGAAAGGAGATATATGCTATCGAATTCTTTGGTTTTTCTTTATTCAGTCCCAGACGATTATCCGTAACCCTTTCATTGCTCCTCTCCTTCTCCTTGCTCCAAACGTCTATATTGACTGCTGGTAGCATCGTGGCCCGCTCCTCGGTTTCGATTGACCATGCTTGAGATCCAGCCACCAATTCCTTCACCGCGAACACTGCCCTGATGAGAACCTGAGAGTCCGCGTTTGCTAGTTCCTTCATGACCTGAAACTGGCGGATCAATATCAAGGCCAGGGATAGAACTCTCTGCCCCAAATTGACCATACTGCCGGCGTAGGTCAAGCGATGGGACGGGTGAGCCAGCACCCATTAACGACCCGCGTTCTCCCTGGGTGGCGGGCGTCGGCATGGCGGTGGTAGCATCGCCAAAAAGAACGTTCATATCTTCCAGGCGAACCCCACTCGTTTCGGGGTACAAAAAGTAAACTGCGGTGATAATTAGTATAGTGGTTCCCTAGCGGATGATCATGGACGAGTGATCCTACCAAGCACAAAACTGCATGCACAAAAGAATGCATGAACTAGGTATAGTCGCCACTTGATAACTTCCTGAAGAACAGGGGTCACTTCACCCACCAGCCAATTGAATGCCCAATTTGAAGCGGTGCTCAAGCTTGCACCTTTGGCACGAATACTCAAAGGCAAGATCTCCGGTGGGTATAACCATGGAATAGGACCCCAAGATGCCCCGAAAGCTGCGTTATAGAGCATAACGAAGATTACCGTCAGGGTTGGGGTGGCGGGGATTTCAATGTAAATAAAGTAGGAAATAAGAGAAAGGGAAATGAGCATGGCAACAGCACCCGAAAGTAGGATCGGTCGCCGACCCCAGCCATCCACGAGATACCATGGTGGTATTGTAGATAGCAAGTATGAAATGCCATTGATTCCAGTCATAAGGATGGCATCTCGTCCAACCCAGCCGGCCTGTGTTGAAAATTGGTCAGCATAATCTTGAATCTCTCTGGGTCTCGTTTGAATGCGGCATGGCGCCGCGGAAGGATGACTCTGGATTCATAGCAGCGTGTGGATTCGTACCGATTCAAACACAAGAGGCGCATAGTATGAGATTACGTTAATCCCATTGAGTTGAGCTAGGGCCTGGGCCGACATGGCAATCAAAACACGTTTGCGATACCGGCGGAACATGTCGGAGTAGGATCGCTCGCCCTCCTGTCGCTGGACGAGGACGTTCATCTTGATCTCACGATATTCTTGGCGGGCCTTGTCATTGAGGAGATCTCCTTCGCCATAAAGATTCGCGATCACCACCATACCCTCCTCGTCATGGTCATTATCAAGAAGCCACCTGAGTAGAGGCACGGGAATTAGCAGGGTAGACGGTGGAAAGACATTTCTACTCACCTAGGTGATTCACATATCAGCAAACTGCCTACCCCGAGCAAGGCACCCATGATACACTGGAAAAGGAGAGGGAGGCGCCAGGAGTAGTCACTATCGATAAAGCTACAGAAATAGTCTACCCACACACTAGTCGCATACCCAGCAATATTGCCGGTGAATTCGATGCATGCGAGCTTTCCACGGTTATGGGGAGGCTTTAAGATTCGTCAGCATGCCTGACGAGAGTATGTGGAGGCAAACAAGAATCCACGAAGATTGATAGAGAAAGGGTGTTACAAACCGAGATTTCAGACTGGTAAACTGGCACAATGGTAGATAGGGCACCAACGCCTAGACCAGCAATGACACGACCGACTATCATCATAGGAATACCTGTGGCAAATGCTTGAAAAGCACCACCGATGAAGAACACAATGGAGCCATAGAGTATAGTCCTTCGACGACCGATCATATCACCGACACGCCCCACAAGGAGCGAGGATATGAATGCTCCAATTTCGAGAACTGCAACCACAGTACCGATCGTAGCCCGAGAAGGCTGGTTGAAGTAATCTTTGAAGTACCAGCCACTGCATCTGTTAGCCACATTCTGCTCCTAAGCTCCATGGCGAGTCTATATGCTCGAGGGATTAGACACGAACGTTATGATGCCAGACATTACACCCTGGTCATAGCCAAAAAGGAAGACACCTAGCGATACAAACACACTTGTGAAGTAACTACATGGAAACCCGAGTTAGTAGTAATACGGTAGTGACCTTTTGAGACACTCACAGTAATGGTTTTCCGACCAGACCGTGCATCTGGGCGCTCGGTTCACTTCTGGGTGTCATTATGGCGGCCAGAACACGTTCAGCTCTCGAAATATGCCGCGGGGAAGGGGATGGTATTCTGATCTTTTCAATATCGACACCGGAAAGCTCGTTGCTCGGGTTTGAAGAATAGTGCACGTGCTTGGGCTGCTTCCTTCGGTCTTTTCGACGCAAGAGCCGTCGATCTGAGGAATCGCGAAGGTGAGTCTGCAGCGGATCTTCAGTCTCGGCGAACTGCTCGGCGAGGTCACCGGTGTCTGACCAGATTGAGGAGTCAGACCCGACCGAGCGAGCAGACGAGTGGGAAGATCGTCGACTACCCTTCTCGTTGGACTCCAATAATGCCGAATGGGTCGACCTTGAATCAGATACGGATTGGAGGGGTATGTTAGAAGCGCGTATGGAAGAAGTCGGAGAAATGATGGCGGTATTGAGCGGGCTGAACCTCGCCCGAAAAGAATGCGGAGTTGGAATGATATCGATAAGAGGTTCTCCGCAAGGAGTCACACCTCATAACCTTGAAAGTGTATTAGTCCGCGCTAGGGCGCCACTCAGGCGATGTGGTCGCAGGCGACTAGCTACGTAAGAGTCACACGCGCAGGATGACCGGTCAAAAGGTCAGGCGGAGATTTGGGATGCGTTTGGGCAAAAAAAAAGGGGGTTTACACAGACAAAGGAAGTCAAATATAGGAATTCAGATGAGTTTGATCTGTTTTCCAAACTAGATAAAATAACTTGTAGAAGTAAAGAGGTTGATATATGTAGGTAATAGGGGAGACAATATGGTAATGCCAAGTATATTTGATTTGTACGCATATGGATTAATATAATCCTAATGCGGGAAAGATCGACAACTAGATTACTATTTATGTTATTTGTATATAAACATGAAAGTTGACTTCTACTCAAAGAACATGGGCTCTATAAAATTTCTTACTTTATCTTGTCAGATATTCTTGTATATAGTTAGGTATGTACTGAATTGAAAGTTGGGTATCACTTATGTGTGCTCTATGAAACAATATTCTATGTACGTAACGCCACTCTCAACATGAACAATAATAAAAAGAGTGGAAAGGGGACAAAAAGAAATCAAGAGGGAGAAGAAACTCCGTTGTAGAACCATTAGGTGAGAAGGATATCATATCCATCACTTTGAATATGGACAGCGTCTGCGGGATTTGCGTACCGTCGGCGCACCAATTCAAAAATAATCAGGCCCGCACTGGTACTAGGTACTTGACGAAGAGAGCTCCCGATAAATCCACGGAACAACCAGGAGCGCCAACCTCCAGCCCGCACAGCCTTCCGTTTGCACCTCTTAAAGGTCTCTTGATAGGCGTGGTAGTATAATCGAATCATCTTCTGTCGCGAGGGTATCAAACTGGCCTGGTGATCCAAATATTCCAATCGGCCCAGGTGGAGATCTTGAATCCTACTAAGAGGATGCTGAATAGTTTGCTGAGTGATGGATGCCACAACACCAGCCATCATCAAGAAACATGGCTCCAATGCATAGTGGGGCTTGATGAGTGGGACCCCGCGATCACTAGACTCGGACGATGAAAGCTTGTCCACATGATCGACTTGCAGGGAGCCATAATACCAAGTGACGAAGGAATAGTAGGACTGGGACTTGATGTATTCAAATGAGGAGAAGAACACCGCATAACCGAGTGAATCCCGCATAAATGACAGGCTCCAGCCTGCAAAGATCCCCCGGAGACCAATCTGTTTGAGCTTATGGTGGCCATAATGCCACATACTCCGGTACTGGCCCTCCAGCATGTCGCTGGTTTGAAACCGAACCTGTAGCGCGTCCAGAGGCGCAGCTACAATCGACTGAATTGTGCCGGCTGTGAATCCAGCTGCAAATGTTGCAGAAGGAGGAGCGGGGGGCCAGACTCGCTTGACCCCTTGGGACACAGGTTCATGTAGGGCTCCTAAAACCTGGAGATAGGATGTGTAGAGAACAGCACCAACCCTGGTATATAAAATTAGCGGTTTTGTATCATTCAGAACCATATCCTTGGGGACATCTCACCCTGCATTTGCCAGCAAGGGTGGGAGCACTTGATTCGGGATAAACCGCCATCCGTATGTCCGAACGGCGTGGAGCAATAATCCCGGGGTTGTTGTGTGCAGAGACCACTTGCCTTCGGCAACACGGGGGTTCACAGCTCTTGCAAATGCCTGTTTCAAATGATAAGTAACTAAGGCTGGTGATGGTTTGGTTGTGTTTCTTCAGATGATGGGAGGGTGTACCATATAACTAAGTGAGATATTGTCAATATAAAGATCATTAGGTCCATAGATACTACATACTCGACACGCATACGAAAGAAAGCTTTGATTGGTGCCCTGAAATAGAAGGCCACCATCTGTGCACTGAGAGCACGAACGCCTGCGGCAGATGCTCCGGTAGCTGCATCATTGCGAGAAATCCTTCGTGAACTTCCTGGAAGTTCGCCGAGATGGGGCTCGAGAAGTATGGGAGCTATCGGAGACTTCATTGTTTACAGACAGCTAAAATGCCACAGTGCACATCGCTGAAAATGGTACTTGTGGGGTCTCAAAGAGAGGTTGGCTCAATGTCAATAGCGAATCTCGAAGCGCAGGCGATATAGGTGGGAAAAGAGGGCAGCATCACAGGATGTGGTTGTTATCCAATCAAACGACCAAGCGAGGGCTCAAATACGCCATGTTGACTTGGAAATAGAAAATAGAAAGAAAGTCAATAGAAAGAGATACTAACAAAATATGTTCGGATTCAATAAGAGAAGACAGATGAAAAACAGCGCTAGTACTAAAGTGGTAATACTTTGATACAGTAAACTAGAGAGACCTAAAGTGCAAGAACGCGCTTTTCGCGTTCACTTTCCCCTAAGCCGTCCCTTTCTATCTTTGTCTTTTCTTCCACGGCCCCAGCTCTATCGGTGCCTTGTCTCTCATCATCGCAGCTGTCGCATTGATGCTGCCTTCATTTCCCATCTACCTTCTTCTTCATCCTCAACAAATTTAATACTCGAACATACCTGCAATAGCTCCTGCGCTCCTACCAAGCTTTCTTGCCACCAATCTAGTCTCTGACTGCGGCATATCTTGCTCGCATTAGCCCATCGCCATGGCTGAAGAGATCACCATTGACAAGAACAACTTTTTCAACCGCCTGTCTACCTTTTACGCGTCATGGAAGGCCGACAAGCGATCGGGCAACGCCCTCTTTGGCAATGCAGGGTCCATGGTCATCCTGATGGGCAAAACTGATGAGGAGAACTCGTTCCAGAAGAACAACGCGATGCACGTATGTGAAACATCTTCAAAGCCCTATCCCTCCCCTATAGAGGCCCATGAGCTCCGTGACGTCGTTACTAATCGATCTTGTTCTTAGTTCTGGCTTCTCGGATATGAATTTCCAGCGACACTTTTTGTTCTGACGACTGAAGCAATTTACGTGGTCACTACGGCAAAGAAAGGTGAGTGTCCATGCATGAACTTTTGTGCGCTACATAGCTGATCATAATCCAATTAAAGCGAAACACCTCGAGCCACTGAAAGAAGGAAAGATTCCCGTCGAGATTCTGGTCACTACGAAAGATCCAGAATCAAAGACTAAAGCATTTGAAAAATGCTTGGAGGTTATCAAGGGCGCAGGGGTGAGATGAAATGCCATTTGAATCACTGGTTTGATTTGCCTTCTACTAACTACTGTAACCATAGAACAAAGTCGGTACATTGCCCAAGAACACAGCTTCAGGACCCTTCGCAGATGAATGGAAACGCGCATTTGCGGAAATATCGAAAGAAGTGGAGGAAGTCGATATAGCACCTGCACTCTCAGCGGCTTTTGCAATCAAGGATTCTGATGAATTGGTTGGTTTACCTATAATACCTTGTCTACCAAGTGGTTTTTGCTGATACCGTCTCGTAGGTCTCAATCCGCAATGCTTCCAGAGCTTGCAGTGGCCTTATGTCAGAATACTTCGTCGATGAGATGTCACGTTTGCTTGACGAGGAAAAGAAAATGACGCACAAGGCCCTTGCTGCAAAGGTTGATGCAAAGATTGACGATGGGAAGTTTTTCAACAAGCTGGCGCGGTTGCCCTCAGAATTTGATTCTCAGCAAATCGACTGGGCCTACGGGCCTGTAATTCAAAGTGGAGGCGCCTACGATCTCAAGCTCACAGCGACCCCCGACAGTAAAAACCTCGAACCCGGCATCATTCTGTCCAGCTTTGGAATCAGATACAAAACTTACAGTTCGCTCATTGGCCGTACTTATTTGGTTGACCCAACCAAATCACAAGAAGCAAACTATGCCCTACTTCTGAGCCTCCATGAAGCAACCATGAAAGAGGTTCGGGATGGTGTGGTCGCTAAGGACGTTTACAACAAGGCACTGAGCCTCGTCCGGTCCAAGAAGCCTGAGCTGGAGGGACATTTCGTCAAGAACGTTGGCGCAGGGATTGGAATTGAGCTCCGGGATGCCAATATGGTCCTCAATGCCAAGAATAACCGGGTCCTGAAAAACGGCATGACGCTGTCTATCACGATTGGTTTGACTGATGTGAAGGATCCGGACTCGAAGAGTGCCAAGAATGGTGGCTATTCCATGGTCATCACCGATACAGTTCGTGTCGGGGAAAGTGGGCCTCACATTTTCACTAAAGATGCCGGTATTGACATGGACTCGATCTCATTCTATTTCGGGGATGAGGAAGAGCCCGAGAAGCCGGTGAAGCAAAAAAAGGAGGTGAAGTCTAGTGCGGCTGCTGGCAGGAATGTCACAAGAACCAAACTTCGTGCCGAAAGACCAACTCAGGTCAATGAGGGAGCTGAAGCCCGTCGTCGAGAGCATCAGAAAGAGCTGGCTGCGAAGAAGACAAAGGAAGGCTTGGAGCGATTCACCGGTACTACTGGAGACGACAATGGTGTGGCACAGAAGAAATTCAAGCGCTTTGAGTCTTACAAACGAGACAACCAGCTCCCTGCTAAGGTCAAAGATCTTACAGTTTACGTTGACCTAAAGACTTCAACCGTGATTGTGCCTATCATGGGCCGTCCAGTTCCCTTCCACATCAACACCATAAAGAACGCCAGCAAAAGCGACGAAGGAGAATACGCCTACCTGCGAATCAACTTCTTGTCTCCAGGCCAGGGTGTGGGCCGAAAGGATGACCAGCCCTTTGAGGATTTGTCAGCTCATTTCGTTCGCAACCTGACTCTCCGGTCCAAGGATAACGACCGGCTTGCACGTGTAGCCCAGGATATCACCGAACTTCGCAAGACGGCCTTGCGACGAGAGCAGGAGAAGAAGGAATTGGAAGACGTTGTTGAGCAAGACAAACTGGTTGAGATAAGAAACCGACGTCCAGTGAAACTCCCCGATGTCTACCTTCGGCCTCCTTTGGATGGAAAGCGTGTTCCGGGAGAAGTCGAGATTCACCAGAATGGTCTTCGGTACCTATCGCCCTTCCGCAATGAGCATGTTGACGTGCTCTTCAGCAACGTAAAGCATCTGTTCTTCCAACCATGTGCCCATGAATTGATTGTTCTCATCCATGTGCATCTCAAGACGCCCATCATGATTGGAAAGCGAAAGACAAAGGACATTCAGTTCTACCGCGAGGCTACGGAAATGCAATTTGATGAAACTGGAAACCGCCGGCGCAAACACCGCTACGGAGACGAGGAAGAATTTGAGGCTGAACAGGAGGAAAGACGGCGGAGGGCTGCGTTGGACCGCGAGTTCAAGGCCTTTGCCGAAAAGATTGCGGACGCCGGCAAGGACGAGGGTGTCGATGTTGATATCCCATTCAGGGAAATTGGCTTTACCGGCGTTCCAAACCGGTCCAATGTCTTAATTCAACCGACCACAGATGCCCTAGTTCAGCTCACTGAACCTCCTTTCACGACCGTGACATTGAATGAAATCGAGATTGCCCACTTGGAGAGAGTTCAGGTAATGTTCTCCGCTTGCTACTAATTTTTCAGTCTAGTTTACTAATTCATGGGTGCAGTTTGGACTCAAAAACTTCGACATGGTCTTCGTTTTCAAGGATTTCCGCCGCACTCCTGTTCATATCAACACAATTCCTGTCGAGGCGCTTGAGGGCGTTAAGGACTGGCTTGATTCTGTCGATATTGCGTTCACCGAAGGTCCGCTCAACCTAAATTGGACCACGATCATGAAAACAGTCGTCAGCGATCCATATGGCTTCTTTGCCGATGGCGGGTGGTCTTTCTTATCCGCTGAGTCGGATTCTGAGAATGGCTCGGAAGAAGAAGAGGAGTCGGCTTTCGAATTGTCCGATTCCGAGCTTGCAGCTGGAGACGAGAGCTCCGAGGAAGACAGCGAATTCGATGATGACGCGAGTGCCGACGCCAGCGAGGACTTCAGCGGCGACGAGGAGAGTGGTGAGGACTGGGATGAGCTTGAGGAAAAGGCGAAACGTAAAGACAAGGAGACTGACCATGACGACAACGATCGCGGGATCAAACGCAAGCGATGATCGAACATTTTGTTCCCGCTGGGACATGAAATTACATTTTTTCCTTGCGTCCTCTCTTCCAGTGTGTTTCCAATCTATGGGCCAAGTTAAGTTGAGATATGCCTTGCACTCATTGATTGGCCTTTCAAATGCTTATACAGTTTAACTCGGGTGCACGGTGTGTTGGGAATCAGAATAAGACACATTTACAGTGTTAATCGAGGGGTAACTAGTCTCTTATGGTCTCTTAACTGTACTCTATCCAAATATTCACGCATGATATTCGTTCAAGGGGCCTTTAGGCGTGGCATCGCTCCAAATCGTAGAAAGCGACTAGGCTAGTTCTAACCCAGTCCCTCTGCGTGTACTATAAATATGATATGGCTGCGAACGTAGTCCATACAGAGCTTGTATTGAACTGGTTGCCAATCGCTTTTCGTCCTATTTCCCTTCGCGCATGGATATCCACATGCTCCGCATGCGCTCTCCTTGTCCAGGCGTGAAACTCTCGTAACATACATCAGAGGAATAATCCATGAAGTCATGAACCGCATCCTGTCCAGGGGAGTCCGGACACGAATCCTTTCGGGCAGGACACCCATCTGTCGGGGTGGACTGCTGTGGCGTGTCATTTATGTAGTCACCAGGATTATCTGCCGAGCAAGATTCTCCTTGGAATGTGTGTAAAAGGCCATTCCAGTGTCCAATCTCGTGGATGGCAGTTCCACCGCGATTGTAGAGATCCAAGGAACCACCAGGCATTGTTTTGGCCAAAACATTGCAGCCATCCTTGACATAGTGAGAAGCTGGGCTACTAGCATTGACAGTCGGATCAGGCAAAGTGCAGAATCCAAGAACGCTCGATGCCAGGTCATTGTTGGTGACTGCACCTCTGTGTCCGAGAGCGCGTCCTGCTTGCCCAGGAGAGGTCTGCAGATTGGTTTGGAAATAAACGTTCAATGTTCGATAGCTTCCTTTCCGAAGGGCCGTTTTCATTGCCACATCATCCGCATTACTCGCCCACTTATCATTGGTATGGCGAGTCACGCCTTGTAATCGATAAGAGATGCCAGAATCTGCATAAGATTGTTGTAGAATAGAAAGCTGTGGGTTAAATGAATGAGTACTGAGATGTCAATCGAAAAAAAGGAGCAACTAACTTGAGAATTGATCATATCATCGGTGACCTGGGTAGACTCGGACTTGCTACTAATAATATGGAACCAGGTCTCGATCTCGATCGGGGCCTGTCTAGCCTGCGAGCTAGCATATTTGGCTTCATCTGACTTGAGTCGACCTAGTTCATGCAAGAAACCTGCACTAGGGTCTTCAGTGGCACAGGCGCCTCTTTTTTGAAGGGTTAAGGGGCTACATCGAGCCTGCAGACAAAGGGTGACAAAAATCATGAGTTGGAAAAATGAGTGGCAGACCATGATGTTAAGAGGTCCTAGTTTTAATTGCCCCTTCACACCAGTTCCAAACGAGCAAAAACACAGTGGACGGAGAGTCAAGAAAAGAACTGTCAACCTCGAGATTGGCCAGTATAAGGGGGTCTCATAGTATCATATAACCTGTATATAAAGAATGTTGCGTCATGCGGGAATGCATGTCTGCAGCAAGGGGTATGAGCATGTTAAAAGGGATCGGAGAAAATAAAAGGCTTGGTATGTGAAAGATTCAAGGATGAGGTCATTGAACAAATTATTTACAGGGCATATTGAAAGAGAAAACGCCAAAAAAGAGAGAAGCGAAGACATCTTAAGGGGCATTATCCCGTCCCGTGGCGATGGCAGTGCTTGGTTGATTTGAATCCCAAGTAAGATAGGTGTGGTCACCAAGTTTTCTGATAGGAAGGTTAACCATTTGGGGTTTTTTGGGGGGGGGTTCTTTATATTAAGGATATCATACCTCGGACGCACCAAGTGCGCAACAGTAAACAGAGCCCCAAGAACGACACAGATTCCACCAACAACCACATAGGCAATTCCCATGAAGGGATTCTTCCCTCCAAGAACTGTTCGAGTAGATATCAAGATCGACTTGGTTCCATCGTATTTGGTGACATTGAAACCTGAAACAGTTAGTAAATGCAGACAAGATGTAGCAGTGATCACATACGATCAACAATGTCAATGCTATACGTTGCAGCAGGCATGCCATGTGTATCATTACGGCGAGAAAGCTTGCTGAACGATGGCAAACCAGCCGTTCTCATCCAAACCATGAAAGCTTCGTTTTCATGTAAGTTGGGATCCTCTTTATAGGCGCCGTTCTCATCTTTCGCCCAGAGCCAGTTTGGCGGTGGCAGGACGTCACCCATATTGTACTTCGTCTGTTTAATGAGTTCTTTGTCACTGTCCCAAGCAATACCTTTATCGGTCATTTCGTAAAATTGCTTTTCGGATGAATTCGGATCTCGGATTTGGGGCTTCCCAATGGTGTCGTTGAAGAATGAGTTTGCAATCAGTCCACATGGATAGTATACCTTCTGAGCTGTACTGTTGACCGCTAATGGGTCACACGCACCACCCTTGACTGTACCGTATGGAACAGCATCCCCTTTCAGTTGATTCAAATCAAGCGACTGAACATATCTGCGGTGGTTTTGATAGAAGTTGGTGAGGCGATAGTACATGAAAACCGGTGCTGGAAGCTCGTTTGGAACTTCAAAAAAGAGAGTGCAAGTAATGGCGTCCGAGTCAGACTCATTGACGGACCTTCTCCAGGTGGGTGGGGATATTGATTTGGAAGATTTGAAGGTCGCCGAATAATGGGGAACAGGGAGCTGGCCGCTAGTCGGTGCTTGTGCGGCGCAGTTGGAGTAATCGATGGAAATTTCTTGGACCTAGGGCACATAGTTCATCAGAGCTGTTCAAGGACAAAGGTATAGAATAAGGCATACTAGAGAACTTGCCCAGAGGAGAACACCACCAATTGGCGCAAAAATAACGCCCACGATGAAAAACAAAGGTAGAACGCTTTTAGGGGTTAAGATTGGTCTAGAAGGTTAGCACAGTCCAGGGGTAGGTACAGGAATATCAAGCTCACTGCCATGCTTTTAATCTTTGTTGGCGGAAAGCAGTATCTGGTAACAAGTTAGTTGTGACCAAGGGTTGAGATCGCAGGACGTACTAGCTGGTCGGCGGGACTTTGGCTTCTTGTCGCTCTCCCTTGCACGCTCCTGTTCCTCAATAGACTCAGCACGAGTCATCTCCTGAGACATGGCTGATGATTTCGAAATAGGAAATTGGATGATCAGGATTGGAGTGAAGGAGAAGAACAAGGGATACGTCAAAAAAAGGTGGCGCCGGGCTGCCGGATGATTACGATTGCGCCCCACCGCTTTAATTTTGTTTTTAAATTAGAAACAATACACTTTGAATACACTTAAATACTATATTTGAATATGTATAACATATATCAAATATATGTGTTTATATATTTTTTATTTCAATACTCAATTACAGGAAATCCATATTTGGTCAGGGTATTCAGGGTATCAAGCCTTATCCTATGTGCTATTCTGAAAAAAAAAAAAAAAAAAAGGAACGAGCAGTAAAATTCAATCGCAATAAAAAACACCTGTGGCTAACCAAGCCTGCCATTCTAGACCAAAGCGAAACTGAGGTGAAGTACCCAAACGCCATAGCCAGCAAGCCAAAGAAAAGAATCAAATGCCCATGAGGTCTGTATGCAAAAAAAAAAAAAAGAAAGAAAGAAACAAGAAAAGGGGGAATCTCAAAAAGAAAAAGAATGTGTCATGAGTCATCAAAGCGAAATAGCGATTGAACAAGAAACCGAAAGGCCAAGAGGGGTAAGATGAGTTCAAGAGCACTCAAATACGGGATTAATAGTCGGGGGGCTGTATTGCACAGTGATAGACACTGGAGTAGATGGGGGTCAGTTATTGGAAACGGCGCCTTTGATGGCTCGGCCTATGATGAGAGGCGAGACAGACTGTAATGGCGGCATCGCTATCCAGTACCATCAAGCACGTAGCCTCTGCAATATCATGCTAGGTATTGATGGAAATATTCAGCTTTAAACCAACCCACACGTTCGTAAGCGGTCCAAAGTTTGCTGGCTTTATTGACATCAATCTTGCAAGCCTGCTGGGCATCTGTCTTGCGGAACTCTTTCCCAACACCAAGAGCGCGAACACGAGCTTCAAAAATTCGACGCTTGCTACATAGGTAGGTCGCACATGAAAGTCTTAGAGTGGAGGCTAGGTTGAGCTCGGCGGGACTGAGAATATCTCTGTCCGGGTCATTGCTCAAATCCAACATCTGCCCCTTCCAATCAGCCTTCAGTGCTTTGGCATTACTGCCCAGGGTTTCTGTCGGGGGCGAGTAGTCCTTGAGTGAGTGATAATCGGTATCATCACGATTCGTACCCAAGGTACGCGGTTTGGTAAGCGGAGTTTGGGGGGGTTCAAAGTTGTCAGACACCTGCTGCTTGGGGGTGGATTTAGGGGTGCGTTTGACACGGGTTCGCTGCACGCGCGGCTGAGTTCCCAATCTTTTCACGGGAGCAGGAGCAATCTTCTTCAACTTGGGTTCGTAATCTCCTGGGCGATAGCGATTCATCATGACCATTTGACGCTCCAGCGTTTCTCGTTCCTCTCGGGCCCAAGCAGCCGGATTGCGATTGTACTGGGTCGAGACAATAGGAACACAGGAGAGCGCCAGGAGATATTCATCTCGTGTGGGTTTGTTCAACTTATTGCGAAACATTGCCATATGAGAATTCATGTGCTCTTCCACGAGTGCCTCTGCAGATGGAGGGTGAACGGGGCCGAACAGCGGCTCATCGGTAGCAACGTCAGTAACGGAATCCTGAGGGGGGAAAAGGACGGGGTCCCTGGGGGATCCCAGATCCCTTTCAATTTGGTCCGAGGCGTGGGAATCGCTCTTCTTGTTCCCTGTGTAGGGAGTCACAGGTGGCGATGGGAGGTCCATCTCTGACTGCGTCCGTTTTCGGTCAGCTGAGATGGGTGGAAGCCGTATGTCGCGAGCTGAAGAATCTCGAGGCTTTGTAAATGGTGAAAGCGAGACAGGAAAACTCTCGAGAGGCTTGATCTCTGGGGGCGACATGAGGCTAGAAACGGATGGGAGACGATGCATAGTGCTCGGCTGTTTGGCTGGCTGCCAGCCAGTAGATGAAGTCATTCCAAATTAAATACCGTTGAGCCGGTAATTGGCAATAAGAGGTTAAAGTAGTCAATGTCAATGGGTGTCCAAATCTATGGTTTCCGGACAGAGAAGGGGAGATGAATACACCAGGCAGAGTGGGAAAGATGGATGGCGAAAGCTGAGCAAGTGTTTATGGAACTCAATGGAAGTTGAATCAGGCAAAACAGGTGATTTGTCAGGTCCTCTTTGTCTTGAGTGGCGATAAGCCAATACCTAAGTCTCGGCGTTAAGGCTCCAATGGCCGAATGAGTCAATTTGATTGAGAGGGTAATGGTCCATGGAAATGAAATGGAAAAGAGAGAGAGTAAAAGAAGGAATACTGAAAGGGAACTGTGAGTCAGTTGGGATGTGATAAACTGCGGGGTGGCGCTTATGGAGATTCCGAATTTCTCCAGGCTCATGAGACCAGACTACCAGACTGTAAAAGGGTTAGTTGGGGTATCAGAGCGCAAAAGGGGATCTGAGGGAGGGGGGGAAAGAATATGTTTGGGCATTGGAACCAGCTGATCTCATCATTTGATTTCCCAAGGTTCCAAGATTACTTGGGTATGAAATATTTTTGGTAATTTTTAATGATTTTTTTTGGTAATTTTTGAATTATTTGGTTTATATATATTTATATATATTTATATATATTTGTAAATATCTGTAAATATCTATAAATATCTGTAAATATCTGTAAATATCTGTAAATATCTGTAAATATTTGTAAATATTTGACCGTAAACTTCTGGTAACTTTCACCATTGTAACCTCACTTTCCACATGTGACAACATCCCATGCGGGCAATCACCTAATAGGATCAGCCGCAGGAGAGGGGAACCAATCATTTTATAGTACTGACCCCTGTCCCATGTGATGTATTGGTGTAGATCCTTTATCTTTGATTTGCTTTCTCTCTTTTGCTTTTGTTTTTCTGCGCTTTATTCCATATATACCCTTTTATTTGGGGGTTTCTTGTTGTACTCCGTAATTTGCCCTGAAATTGCATTGACCAATGAGGGCCTGAGTCAACTTGGATCTGACTCATCCGTATTCCTTGGAACCTTGAGTCATAGTTGAATGGCTGCCTGCGCTAGGCGCCTAAACTATTTTCATTATTATTTGGAAGGTGACGTCATTATACCATCCAACAGCCGCTCTGTTAATTTGCATCAGCCATAAGGTTGACAGGTCTTCTATGGGGCCAGGAATAAGGCATTCCCTTTCAGAGCCTCGGGTCACAAGTATCTTTTATTTCAATACAGTCAACCCTCATTTTCCCTTTTTTTTCTTTAGGCCTCAAAAAGAGAACTGTGCATTTGATTCAAAAATACAGACCCTGCTACTAAGTATCTACCCACTGCCCATTTTTCCACCTAAACTGACCGAGTTTGAAGCCTATTCTCTCGATGAATTTATATTATAGCGCATTTCTATTCATCCTTTAGCTTATTTGTAGTTGAGATCTTAATGTAATATATTAGGTATGATGGTCTAGGGTCTGCCTCAGGCTTGATTGGTGCATTCCATGATTCTCCTCATACTAGTTTAGCTACTTCTAGCTGCTTTAGTGCTGTGGTAACCTTTGTCGTCCGCCAACGTTCCATACTTTCTTCTGCGGATAATCCTCCTCTCCAAGACCACCTTGGCCATGAACACCACTCCATGGACCACAACATATCCTCGACATTGAAGACGCTCTAGTGTCCGATGACAACCCCGCCCGTGATGACGGCACTCTCGACCATGAGCGATGCGCCAGGCTACACAATTACCTGGTCGCATATGGCTGGATGGCCCGCAACGGAAGAGACACACCCGATCTTGAAACGCTAGCCAGCGAAAAGTGGTTTTTCCATGAAGTAAATGAGGAGGTCGAAGCTACTCGGGAGCGTCTTGATACGCCACTTAACATGTTCCTAGATTTAATCTATGATCCTAGGCCGCCCTTCTTCTACTAGATTAACGGTCTTGTGATGGAGCTTAGCGACGAGTGTTTTATTGATAATAACGAGATAGAGGAGGAGAAAGAGCGATTTGTTTTGATTTATCGCACTATTGTAGATCTATAACATAGGTAGGCATAACCTCAGCGTTATCTATAACTAGCAGCTCAACCGGGCCTCGTTCCTAATAACTGTAGACAATAACGTATTCGGTAAGCGAGCTGCGTACCTAAACCAACCTATTAAATTCAATTGTATATATCTCAACCAAAACGCTATTAAATTAAATATAGTAAAATCATCTATCTACCTATATACCTATTGATTGTATGCCCTATTTTTCTATACCTACTATACTTTAGTAGGGCCTATATACGTGGCTGTAAAGCCGGCGAGTCGCTTATTTGCGGTAGGGGTATAGGTACTTCTACTACTTCTACTATCCTAGTAGTTAATTAAGAAGTTTCTTAAACTAAGAGACCTTCTTTAGAAGGTATTAGCCTTTAGGACTAAGTACATTTTTACTTCTACTTCTTATTTATAGCGCGTAAATCCTTATTTTCTTTAATAAGTAAGATAGTACTGTTACGCACTGCTAACTGGTCACAGTTAGGTTAGATGGGTTCCGGGTATACTTGCCTTAATACTCCTCGTGTATCCAACGTCAACGATCTGTCGCAACTGAGCTATTGCCTACAAGGCCTTACTGTAGCCTAAGTCCTATTGAGAGAGCGAGGAACAATGCTAGTAAGAGCGCCGAGTAGATCTATACCGAAGTATTAGTCTGCTTATAAGTATTATTAAGTTATAATCAAGTAAAGAGTTATAGTAGTCTAAAGGTAAATATAAGTAATAATATATAATTAAAGACGAAGAACTAAACTAGATATATAAATAAGTGTCCTTATATATCCCTAAGTTCTTCCTATATAGATAAGTAGAGAGTAGTGTAGTAGAATCCTAACGATAGATTCTATAGTTTAACTATCTACTATTCTACTACCTATAGGATTACGTATATAGTCTTAGCCTAGGATAGTAGTTTATAGTAGCAGAGGTTTATTAATATATATAGTAACGTATATAATAGAAATCTTCTGTAGAGTAGGTCTAATTAGGGCGGATTAGGCTCTTACTTACTAAGTATAATCGTGGTTTTTCTTTCTCTATATACCTAGGGTTCCTAGAGTATAGGATACTATACGTAACCTAATAATAGGTCTACTAGTTAGCTCTCGATAGCCTATTAGTGTACCTAGTAGGTCTCTACTAATTAGTAATAGATAGGTTTGTAATATTACCTCCCCTCTTCCTAGGAGTTTTATCCCTAAGACTTATAAATCTATAGTTTCCCCTTAGGTAGGTAATAGATTTCTTTTTCCTTAAAATAATATATACTTATTATACCTAAATATAAGGCTAACTCTATATCTAAGCTTATCTCTAAGCTTCTGTCTAACTCCTCCGAAGCTTACTATTATTAAGCGGATTATATTAAGGATAATAGTTTTACTACCGCTATTTCTTATAATTACTATAAAATAGCTAGTATAGCCTACCTAATAGATCGATCTCGCTAATATTCTAAATATATAGCGTATACTTATACCGGTCGCTTATATAAGCGTAACTTCTATATTAGTTAGGAATAGGATTTATTATATTATACTAAGGATAAACTTTCTTTAGACTTTAAAATAAATAAAAACGAACTCGATCTATTAGAGCCTAAGTTAAGTAAATTATAGGCGTATCTTACGGAACTATATTAAAGGGTATTAAATAAACAAAAATAATATTAGGAAGCTATATCTCGTTAGTATCGACTATATAAATAGATAGCCTTCCTTAAATAAAAAGGTTTTAAAATATCGGAGTACGATACTAAGCTCCTTTAAATTCTTAATAAAAAACAAACGTCCCTAGGGTAGGCTTCTCCTTCTACTCTTAACTTTAAGTAGCTTACTACTACTACTAATTATCCGAACTTTAATTAAATACTAATAGAGATTATTAATTTTCTAATATCTTTTTAAAATAGCCTAGCTTTCTCTACTACTAGTACTAGTAGAACTGTTAAACTAGCTAGGGGTAGCCCCTTAGGTTCTTAATAGGTTCCTATATATTTTTAGAGGTATTGTACCCCTTCTATCTTACTAAGTAGTAAAGTTTTCCGTTTATATATTTTATTTCTAGAATTTTTTTAACTTTATATTTGTTTTCGGTTTCTTCTTTAATTTCTATATTTATTATAAGTTTAGCGTTATTTAGTATAGGTTTAAGTAATGAGATATAGAATACTAGATAGAGTTTTTATATACTTTCTAGTAGTCTTAAGCGATAATTAACTAATCCTAATTTTTCTTTAATTTCGAATAGTCTTAATTATAGATAGTCTAGTTTATTACTAAGTTACTTAGTTTTAATATTATAGTATAAAAGGTAAACCTTCTCTCCCCTCTTTAGGTTAGGTCCCTTTTCGTATTTTTAGTTATAGTACTTCTTTATCTATAGATTAATAAAGTTAATATCTCTAGATAGTTATAGATATAACTATTTTAGCTTATTAGCCTTTAGCCTTACTAATTCTGCTATAGCTACTCTACTAATTAGTTATCTATAAATTATAGGATTATATCTATAATTAGTAAAGAATAGTAATTCTTAGGTTATAGAGTAAATAGTATTATTATATACTAGTTATACTATTAGTAGCAGTCCTACCTAGTCGTTTTACTAGTAGTTTATATAGTATTATAGGTACTATTTTAGGGTTTAGTTTACTCTTTTAGTTTAACTATTAGTTTATAGGTAGTATACTATAGAGAGTCTAAGCTTAATACCTATCTAATCCGCGAAAGATTACTATATATTTAATATAAATAACTTATCTCTATCTAATATAATTTTAGTTAGTAGTCTATAGTTTATAACTATATATTATAGGACTATATTCGCTATTTAATCTACGT